CAAAATAATGCACGTTGATTTTTTTTTAACTTGAAAAAAGTCAGAGTTACAGAGAGGCAGAGGCAGAGAGAGAAAGAAGTCTTCCATTTGCTGGTTCACTCCCCAAATGGCTGCAGTGGCTGGAGTTGAGCTGATTCAAAAGCAGGAGCCAGGAGCTTCTTATGGTTCTCCCATGCAAGTACAGGGGCTCAAGGACTTGGGCCATCTTCTGCTGCATTCACAGGCTATCGCAGAGAGCTGGATTGGAAGTAGAGCAGCCAGGACTCAAACCAGTGCCCAGATGGGATGCTGGCACTGCAGGCGGAGGCCTTACTTGCTACGCCACAGTGCTGGCCCTATATAGGTCTTCTTTCTGAAGAGATGATAAAATAATTCTTAACACATTAAGACAGAAATATAAAATGCTGAAAAATATAGGAATTTGCACCTGTATACCCATAGCTCTGTTAATAAAAGTTATCTGTGTGCCATTGTCTAGATCTTATAATAAGCCTTCTAGCACACTACCGTGAATGACAATGCTACTCCTGTGAATGAAAACCATCAGGTTTTATGGATTTCTCAAAACATCCCCACTCACAAAGATGAAACTGGTTCACTTTCAGTGTATTTTACTGGAATAGAATTGTTTTCTTTCTTTCTTTTTTCTTTTAAATATATTTATTTGAAAGAGTTACTGAGAGAGAGAAGAGGCAGAGGAAGAGAGAGATCTTCCATCTGATGATGCACTCCCTAATTGGCTGCAACGGCCAGAGCTGCGCCGATCCAAAGCCAAGAGCCAGGAGCTTCTTCTGGGTCTCCCACACGGGTGCAGGGGCCCAAAGACTTGGGCCATCTTCTGCTTTCCCAGGCCATAGCAGAGAGCTGGATGGGAAGTGGAGTGGCCGGGTCTCCCATATGGAATGCTGGCGCTTCAGGCCAGGGCGTTAACCCACTGTGCCACAGCGCTGGCCCGAATTGTTTTCTTTTTAAATTATAGTCATTTTGCAGGAGTTCATAAAAGCCTCATGTCTTTTCTGATTCCATCTGTGCTAATCTTCCTGGTTGTTAAAAACAGATAGTTTTTAATGTATCTTAACTGTCCTCCTTCATTAAAACCATAGTCAAAACTTTCCAGGATATCAGGAAAATCAAGAGGTAATTCATCTTTTTTCATTGGCACATCCTATCCTAAACAATAAATCTGTGCTCTGTCCCCAGCTACAGAGCTGAATGTCTTGGTGGGAGGAGATGCGATCTTCCGGTTTGCCAGTTGAACTGCTAAAGATGGGATTTCATTGAAGTTTGATTTCTACCCTTCCTCTCTCTTGTGTTGTGCCCCTTTATCAGGAGGCACGAAATATCTACTTGCAATTTAAAAAAAAAAAGATTTATTTATTTGAAAGGCAGAATGACAGAGCTTCCATGCCTTGGTACACCCCCCAAATGTTTGCAACAGTTACGGTTTGGACAGGCCAAAGTGAGAATCCAGGAACCCCATCGGAGTCTCACATGTGGGTGTGGGGACTCAGGAAATAGGGCATCTTCTGCTGCCTGCCAGGTGCATTAGTAGGATGCTTGACCTGAATTAGTTATGAGCCAGACATCCTAATATGGGATGCAGGGATCTCAAAGAGTAGCTTAACTTAGCATTCACAGTGCCTGCCCCTGTCCTGTGACTATTCTGCCATTAGAAACCACTGATAGAGGTGATTAAAAATACTGCTTTGGAGAAAAATAAGAAAGGGGGATAAGTAATGCTGGATGGTTCTAGTTTTCAATAGCATGATTAGGACAGGCCTGGACTAGGTGGGTACTAGAACAGACTTGAGGGAGCCATGTGCTTATCTGAGGAATAGCTAGCTGCTAGTTTTCACTCATGTTGCCTTATTTTCCTTTTGTGTTTGCTTTATTTTCTGATAGTTTTCCAAAAATTTTAATTTTATACTGTTATAAAATTTTAATTTTATACTGTTTATACTGTTTTGTAATTTGAGAATATGACTGAATTTGTCACACTCTTCCAATTCAACTGGTAAGGTAAACAATCCAGTTTAGGTGAGAAAATAGATTTCAAGTTGTGATGGGGTAGTTGAGGGAAGAGCCTAGGAAAAGGAAGGAAGCTTCTTCCAGTTTCCAGTCATTTTGTTGTGATTTACAGAGATATATTACTGTATTAGGAAACAGGTGATAAACTTTTTCTTAAAACGTCTAGGTTGTAAATATTTGGGACTTTATGAGCCAAAAGGTCTCTTTCACTTTTTAACTCTGTCTTTGAGCATGGCTCTATTCCAATAAATCTTTATTTATTAAAACAGACCCATTGGTTGTTTGCCAAAACCTAAAAATTTTAAGGATAGTTCTACGTAATTTTGATGGGGACACAATGCATGCAGTTATGCAGGAAACTTTTAGGTGTGCCGTATTACATTTCTTCACTTTATTGTGTGCTATCTGCTGCCTTTTTGGCCTCAAGGAAGTAGAGAGCTGGAATAATGAAGCCCTGTCAAGAAGTTCCTCTATGACGGAGGCAGACCCCAAAGGTAGAGAGGTAGAGCAACCCCAAGAGGAAAGGAAACAAGACAACTCATAGAACCTGAGGAGAAGACAGAGGAGAGGGACTGTGTGAGATTCAGTGACAGCGCTAGCCATGCAGCGAGTGTGGGAGATGCTGGTATCACAGAACAGGGGCTTGTTTTAGTAAAAAGGACTTAAGGATTTGGAGTTTTGATAGATTTTGGGTGGAGTAATGGCCACTTCAATAACTACCTTAAATTGGCCTGGGCAAATTGTTTTCCCCCTTTGAGCCTCAGTTCTATTATTTATAAAACAACATGGCAGTTTGAAATGAGGGTTAGAAATTTGTGAATGTTAAATATCTGAGCATTGTCTTATACACAATAAACCACTGTTATTTTCTATTATTTCTTTGATTTTTTTTTTTCTGTTAAAATGTCACTGATGTGTGATGACTTGGATGAGATGTCTGATTGGAATTTATTAAAGTATAATTTGCTTCCCTCAGCACATTAAGTAATTGACATTAACTGTCAAAAAGGTACATGCATATCAGAGATCATCAACACATTGATGGGAAATGATTATTATGAAAAACACACATGGACTTGTAGTTTTTTGGCACCAAAATAGACTTATCTTTTAATTCTGTTTTCCCATGATCTTTCTGAAGTCCTTTTGTATATTCATTTCAAGATGCATTTTGGCTTATTTCTTTTCTATCAAGACAGTTTTTTCAGGTATTACTTAGAGCATTTTAAATAATCATTGAGCTCATACTTTAAATTGCTTTTGAAATAATTGCTTGAGAAAAACTGTACAATTTGGTCATTTGTAGATTTATTGTCTCAAATGGAAAAGTTAGCAGAATTAGTGATTTCCATGCTTTAAATATCCCTATAATTATATTGGGAGTAGTTCAGTTCATACAGTTTTTTTTTTGACAGGCAGAGTGGACAATGAGAGACAGATTTTTTTTTTCAGTTCATACAGTTTTGATAACTATATCCTCTAATATTTGCTTTAACTTTGTTATTATGAAATTAAAAGCAGTTAGAATTAGTAAAAATGAATTATCTTGCACTTGTCCTAATGAAAGTTTTAGGACTCATTTTCTCATGTTCTATCCAAGAAGGAAGAGCTTTTGTGAAGCTTGTGTTCCTTCTTGTGGCTTTTAAGTTTTGCTTTCCTTTTTTGAGAGAATGTCAACAATGCTTCATTCAACCGAGATAGGAACAGTTTCCTCTGAGGTCATCGTATCTTAAAATGCCTCTTGCTTCCTGAATGTGATTGTATCTTGCGTTCTGTGTTCATTAGCCTGTGTTGTCAAAAAGCTTACAGTATAGTAAAATAACTACAACATATTACACACATTAAAACCTGGACGAAGTTTTACAGGGAAATTGTAATGGATATTTGATTCCACCATTAATGCAAACAAAAATCAGTTGGCCCTCTGTATCCATGGTTTTCAGCCGTCTGTGGATTGAATATTTTCGGGGAAATTTTGCATCAGAAATAAACTGCACAGAGGATTTTCCCTTGTTAATATTCCTTCAGAAATGCTGTGTTAATGTGAGATAATGCTGTGACTTTGGTTCTGATAATATATGCCTCAGTTTTATGGTGTTGAGACTCACTATAACCATATGTTACTAAGTTAATGATTCACTTTATAAAGTGGTTTTGAAATTCATGTGGGCCGGCGCTGCGGCTCAATAGGCTAATCCTCTGCCTAGTGGTGCCGGAACACCGGGTTCTAGTCCCGGTCGGGGCGCCGGATTCTGTCCCGGTTGCCCCTCTTCCAGGCCAGCTCTCTGCTGTGGCCCGGGAGTGCAGTGGAGGATAGCCCAAGTCCTTGGGTCCTGCACCCGCATGGAAGACCAGGATAAGCACCTGGCTCCTGCCTTCGGATTAGCGTGGTACGCTGGCCGCAGCGCGCCGGCCATGGCGGCCATTGGAGGGTGAACCAACAGCAAAGGAAGACCTTTGTCTCTCTCTCTCTCTCTCTCACTGTCCACTCTGCCTGTAAAAAAAAAAAAAAAAAAAAAGAAATTCATGTAGCAGTGGCACTTAAGTGAATATTCTGTCTAAATGTCTAATCTTCTACATAATCCAGAAAAATAATAATTAAAATAATCTATGGTGTGAATATATTTTATTCATGTATATTTATATATTTATCTTATTCAGACTATATTTTATGTTAGATATTTATGTTGGATATTGTTAATGTGTTGGCTTTATTTGTACTGATGTCAGTTACTATGGGACATTAATTTCAATTTAACCTTTTTCTATAGTTCCAAAAGTTCCTCCCTCCCATGTTCTCTGTATATGATTCAGTCATAGCAAATCATTTTCATCTTTTTGTATTTTAAGCTTAAGTCTGTTTTGCTAGGTGTTTTTCCATCATGGTGACTGTGTAAGGGTAGAGCTGGTTTCATGAAACAGTGGGTTTTCCTCTAGCTTTTTGGTTAATACTGAACTTGTTTCTCTTTTAGTTGTGCGGTCAGAGAAGAAACGCCTTAGGAAGCCAAGCAAGTGGCTTCTGGAATATACAGAAGAATATGATCAGATATTTGCTCCTAAGAAGAAACAAAAGAAAGTACAGGAGCAGGTGCACAAGGTGTGTTGTAACGTTTCAGCAAACGCTCACTGGCTCCCTTTCATGGTCTTTGTCTTCATAAGGTCACACTTTCTTTATCCTAGGATCCTACCTTTTCAGTTTTTGATCCTTAACTTTTAGCATAGTACCTAGAAAATAGTGGCTATTTAGGAAATGTAAATGGGTGTCTACGTGTCATGTGTGTGTGTGTCTCTGTGTGTCTGTGTGTGTTTGTGTACCCTCTTTGTTTCCAAAGAGTATTAAATGATTTAGGAATATTGCTGTGGTACAATGTTGTAAGAAACATAGGTTATAAAATAAACTGTATAGTCTGATTCTGTCTTTTTTTAAAGCTTTATTTTTTATTTGTTTGAAATACAAAATTACAGAGAGACGTAGAGCCAGAGAGAGGGTGGTTTTCCACCCACTGTTTCACTCCCCAAATGGCTGTAACCACTGAGCTGAGCTGATCTGAAGCCAGGAATCAGGAGTCTCTTCCCAGGTTTCCCATGCAGGTGCAGGAGCCCAAGCATTTGGGCCATCTTCTGCTACTTTGCCACAGTGCATTCAAATTTTTTAAAACAAATATTCTAATTTTTTTAATTTTAATTTAATTTAATTTTTTTGACAGGCAGAGTGGATAGTGAGAGAGAGAGAGACAGAGAGAAAGGTCTTATTTTTGCCATTGGTTCACCCTCCAATGGCCACCATGGCTGGCGCACCGCGCTGATCCGAAGCCGGGAGCCAGGTGCTTCTCCTGGTCTCCCATGCGGGTGCAGGGCCCAAGCACTTGGGCCATCCTCCACTGCACTCCCTGGCCATAGCAGAGAGCTGGCCTGGAAGAGGGGCAACCGGGACAGAATCCGGCACCCCGACCAGGACTAGAACCCAGTGTGCCGGTGCCACAAGGCGGAGGATTAGCCTAGTGAGCCACAGCGCCAGCCCCATACTGTTTTTTTAGAAAAAGATTTATTTGGCCACGGCGGCCATTGGAGGGTGAACCAACGGCAAAAAGGAAGACCTTTCTCTCTGTCTCTGTCTCTCTCTCTCATTGTCCACTCTGCCTGTCAAAAATAAATAAGAAAAGAAAAAGATTTATTTATTTGTTTGAAATAACAGATAAACAGATCTTCCATCCATTGGTTTATTCCACAAATGACCACAACAGTTGGGGCTAGTCCAGGCTGAAACCAGGGACCCAGAATTCTTATCTGGGTCTCCTGTTGAGGGTGGCAAGCTTTCCCAGGCACATTAAAAGGAAGCTGGATTGAAAGCAGAGCAGATGGGTCTCAAACCAGTGCTCCAGTATGAGATGTCCATAATGGGATTCCAGCATTGTAAGCTGTAACTTAACCTGCTGTGCCAAAACCATGGCCCCATGTTCTAGTTTGTTTGGTTTTTCAAGATTTATTCATTGAGGTACGGCACCATGGCTCACTAGGTTAATCCTCCGCCTGCGGCACTGGCATCATCCATATGGGTGCCGGTTTCTAGTCCCAGCTGCTCCTCTTCCAGTCCAGCTCTCTGCTGTGGCCTGGGAAAGCATCGGAGGATGGCCCAAGTGCTTTGGCCCCTGCACCCTCATGGGAGACCAGGAAAAAGCACCTGGCTCCTGGCTTTGGAACGGCACAGGGCCAGCCATAGCAGCCATTTTGGGGAGTGAACCAGCGGAAGGAAGACCTTTCTCTCTGTCTCTCTCTCTCTCACTGTCTATAACTCTACCTGTCAAATAAAAAAAAAAAAATTATTCATTGAACTGAATGCAGACTTAGAGAGATATCTTCCAAATGCTGGTTCACCCCCAATATGGCTTTTAATGATCTGGGCTGAACCAGGCTAAAGCCAGGAGCCAGGAGCCTTCTCTGGGTACAGGGGCCCAAGTACTTGGGCCATCTTCTGCTGCCTTCCCAGGTGCACCAGCAGGGAGCTGGATCAGAAGTGAAGTAGCCGGGCCTTGAACTGGTGCCCCTAATGGCATGCTGGCACCACAGGCTGTGGCTTAATCTATTGTACCACAGTGTGAGCCCCCAATTTCTATTTCTTTAAACCAATGTCTTATGAAGTAATTTAGAGGTATTTTGAGAGTACCCCAAAGACCCTACTTTGCAAATCTTAAAACATTTATCTTCATAACTAATTATCATAAGATATTTTTATATCTTGAAATTCCCAGGTTCACTGCTCATATCTACCTTTGGTTTGTCAAAGCCAGGAATGCAGGCTAGGACTATACATTATGACTATACATTGTATCTGGTTGTCTGACTGTTACATTATATCTGGTACAGGTTGCTACATTTTTTCCCCCTCCAAAGAGCTCTTCCATTTGCTGGTTCACTCCCTAGATGACTGGAACAGTCAGTCCTAGCCATGTCAAAGTCAGGAGCCCTGGGGCTTCTTCTGGGTCTCCCACATGCATGAGGGAGTGACAAACCTTGGGGCATCCTCTACTACATTCCAGGCGATTAGCAGGGAGCCAGGTCAAAAGTGGAGCAGCCAGGACACACACTGGCACACATATGGGATGCTGGCATTATAGGCAGCAGCCTTACCTTCAAGGCACAGTGCTGATCCCTACAATTCTTAAATCTCATTGAATCTAGAATAATTTTTTTTTCCCTTGACCAAGTAGCACACTTGTCAAAAAGTATTCACTTTCTAGATTGTTTCCTCATTGGGTGTCTTGCAGCTTATTTCTCCATCCTCTATGTTTCCCCTATGCTTTTTTTTTTTTTTAAGATTTATTTATTAATTTGAAAGAGTTACACGGAGAGAGAAGGAGACACAGAGAGGGAGAGAAGTCTTCCATCTGCTGGTTCACTCCCCAGTTGGCTGCAATGGTTGGAGGTGTGCCAATCCAAAGCCAGGAGTCAGAAGCTTCTTCCAGGTCTCCCTTGTGGGTGCAGGGGCCCAAGGACTTGGGCCATCTTCCACTGCTTTCCCAGGCTACTGCAGAGAGCTAGACTGGAAGAGGAGCAACCGAGAGAGAGAGAGAGAGCGAGAGCGAGAGAGATCTTTCATCTGCTGGTTCACTCCCCAAATGGCGGCAGTGGTCAGGGTTGGGCCAGTCTGGCGCCAGGAGCTTCTTCCTGGCCTCTCACGTGAGTGCACGTCCCCAAGGACTTGGGCCATCTTCTATTGTTTTCCCAGGCTATTAGCAGGGATCTGGATCAGAAGTGACTCAGCGCCCATTTGGAATGCCAGCACTTTAGGCAGTGGCTCAACCTTCTACACCACAGTGCCAGTCTCAGATTCCTCTCTTTTAAGTCATATTTTACCTCTGTTGATCAAGAAGCAATATATGTGGTTCCAAAAGAATACGCTGTTTTCTACCCACCGTTTCTTTGATGGTTTTTAATAAACACCAGTTGAAGATCCTTGCCTTTATCAGTACTGTCCATAATATTACTAGGTGTTACAAAAATGAAGACTTCTGGATTTATCTTTCTCTGTTTTTACCTAAAGTCTCTTTAATTGCTTGAACCCTTTCGTTGTCTTGAAATTCTGGAAAAGCAGAATTAGTGCTAATTTCCCATTAATTACCAATTTTAGCATTAAGGAATTCATTAGTAGTTGCTAAATTGGTAACATGTTAGGGAAACTTTTTTTTTATCGTATAGACTCAGGAATCTGTGTAATTTCAGTGAATTTCAGTCAACTGCATTTATTCTCTTGAAGATTATGAGATTTACCAAATTAACCATTTTAAGTGTACAGTTTTGTGACATTAAGTACAGTCACTTTGTTGTGCAATCATCATCAACATCAATCTCCAGAAATATTTCATCTCCCCAATCTGAAATTCAGTACCAGTTAGCCAGTTATTTCCTTTCCCCCAACTCCTGGTAACCACTATTCTGTTTCCTGTCTTACTGAATTTTACTATTCTCGGTATCTCATAGAGGTGGACTCATGTACTATTTCATGCACTTTTTCCCTTAGTAGCATGTCCTCATGTTTCATCTGTGTTTGTAACATGTGCTAGGATTTCATTCCTTTTTAAGCACACTATTCTTCCTGACACTCAAATTTTAACAATTTTGGCCTATGGATTCTATTTTAATATTTTGTTCTTAGGTAAGTTCCCGCTGTGAAGAGGAAGGCCTTCTAGCCCGATGTCAATCTAGTGCCCAGAACAAGCAGGTGGACGAGAATTCTTTGATTTCAACCAAAGAAGAGCCTCCAGTTCTTGAAAGGGAGGCTCCATTTTTGGAGGGGCCCTTGGCCCAGTCAGAACTTGGAGGTGGAAATGCTGAGTTGCCACAGCTTACCTTGTCTGTGCCTGTGGCTCCGGAAGTCTCTCCACGACCTGCCCTTGAGTCTGAGGAATTGCTTGTTAAAACACCAGGTAAGGTGGGGATGGGATCTTAATGTGTAAGCAGATATGATTGGAGGAAGCAGGAGATTTTAGTATGTTTTGATAGAAAGCCAACGTTGTATGTGTACAAAACAAATTGCCAACTTTTGTCCTGGGAAATTCCTACAATGCTATCTAATTTGATGATAGCTACTGACTATGAATTAATTCTTGGCACACTAAGAAAATATATTTTAAAAAAACTATTCATGCTGGCGCTACAGCTCACTAGGCTAATCCTCCGCCTTGCGGCGCCGGCACACTGGGTTCTAGTCCCGGTTGGGGCGCCGGATTCTGTCCCGGTTGCCCCTCTTCCAGGCCAGCTCTCTGTTGTGGCCAGGGAGGGCAGTGGAGGATGGCCCAAGTGCTTGGGCCCTGCACCCGCATGGGAGACCAGGAGAAGCACCTGGCTCCTGGCTTTGGATCAGCATGGTGTGCTGCCCGCAGCGGCCATTGGAGGGTGAACCAAGGGCAAAGGAAGACCTTTCTCTCTGTCTCTGTCTCTCTCTCACTGTCCACTATGCCTGTCAAAAAAAAAAAAAACAAAAACAAAAACAAAAACAAAAACTATTCATGCTTTGTTGTTCATCTTCATGATTGTTAATTAGCCCCTGTTTAAAATCAGCAACCAGAATAATCAGGTTTGGGGAGGGGCCCTGCACACTCATGGCATAAGCACCTGACCTCTGTGCATCACGTACTGGCTTAAGCAGTCCTTCTGTTACTTGGGAAGATGTTTAACCTCTGAAATTGTTTCTGCATCTGTAAATGGAAATTACAGTGTATATTATTATCTCCCTAAAGTAAACAGCTAGTAAGTAAAAGTATTCCTAGAAGTTTCTTCGCAGTTGCCTCTGACTTTATCATTCTTTGCATACACATTACCTGGGGAGAGCTAGAACTAAATGTACTACTTTTAATTCTCTTTCAGTATTGAATAGTGTAATCAAACAAGGAATGGGAAGAACCCTTCTCTTTTGTACCCCTATAAATTTTGGACTTTTTTACATGTCAAACCATAGTTTGTGATGTTAACTATTTCAAAAAAAAAAAAAACAAAAACACCCCTCAAATCTCAATTGTGTCTAATAAGGCAAAACAAAAGATTTTCTTTAAAAGATCTATTGGAAAGGCAGAGTGATTGAGAGAGGGGGAGAGACAGAAATAAGGAGATCATCTACCTGCTTGTTCGCTCTCCAAATAGCCACAATCGTCAGGGCTATGTCAGGCAAAGCCAAGAGCCAGAAAGTCCATCCCGTCTCCCACATGGATGGCTCAAGTGTTTGGACCATCTTCTGTTGGTTCTGAGATGCATTACCAGAGAGTTGGATTAGAAGCAAGGCAGCCGGGATTCAAACTGGCCCTCTGATGTGAGATGCTGATGTTGCAACCGGGCAGCTTAACTTGGTGCCCCAACAACGAAAAGTTTTTTTAAAGAATGGTAAAGGTAGTTACTCTTTAGGAGACAAGCATGAGGCTATTTTATGTAATTCTTTAGACCTAGAAAGTAAGCAAGTGTCTTATTTATTTATAGTCAGAGCAAAAATAATAATATTGATCCATTTATGTCCAGAATCTAGGCTGCGTTTTTATTCTACTTCTCTTTGCTTTTGTCTTTACTACCAATTAATTGCAATACAGGCAGGTTCAGATTGTGACTTCTCCCTTAGTTATTTTGCAATTTTTAAAAATGTCAGGCCGGTGCCGGGGCTCAATAGGCTAATCCTCCACCTAGCGGCGCCGGCACACCGGGTTCTGGTCCCGGTCGGGCCGCCGGATTCTTTCCCGGTTGCCCCTCTTCCAGGCCAGCTCTCTGCTGTGGCCCGGGAAGGCAGTGGAGGATGGCCCAAGTACTTGGGCCCTGCACCCACATGGGAGACCAGGATAAGCACCTGGTTCCTGCCATCGGATCAACGCGGTGCACCGGCCACAGCACTCCAGCCGTGGTGGCCATTGGAGGGTGAACCAACGGCAAAGGAAGACCTTTTTTCTTCCTGTCACTAATGGATAGCCCCTCGGTGTAAAGAAAAAGTGAAGAGATAGTAGTCGAGACGCACAGGACGAACATCTTCACATTAATTTGTGTCTTCATTGGCTAAAGTTTGTGTTTGTAATAAGTAAGACAGCATTTAAAACCAGAGGAGAGACTGAAATCTTCTATCTGTTGATTCACTCACCAAACACCTGCAACAGCTGGGGCAATGCCAAGCTGAAGTCGGGAATAGAGAGCTCCATATGAAAGTGGCCCTTATACTTAGGCAGTCATCCACTGCCTCCCAGGAGCATTAGCAGGGAGCTAGAACAGAAGCATGGAGTAGCCAGGACTCAAACTGGCTACTCCATGTGGAATATGACATCACAAGTGGTAGTCTAACTCACTGTGCCACAATGCCCACCCTAGCATTTTCCTTTTTTAATGTTATTTAATATTAGAATTAATAAATCCTTATCCTGTCCCTTCTCATAAGATGATGAGGAAATTACAAACAATACTTTCATTGATTTTGCATGGTCTGTCGATGTTTTCAGCATTAGCTTAATGCTCCGTTTTAAATCATCTAATGAAAAGATACATGCATTTCAGGAAATTATGAAAGTAAGCGTCAACGAAAGCCAACGAAGAAGCTTCTTGAATCCAATGATTTAGACCCTGGATTTATGCCCAAGAAGGGTGACCTTGGCCTTACTAAAAAGGTATGTTAGTTTTATCAATTCTAAAATACAGTTAAACCAGCAAGTGTGGGATTTTAAAAACAAGTAATATTTATGACATTGATATAAATGCACAGTTGTTTCCCCTCATGCTTGGGTTCATTTTCTGCAGTATAAGTTACCCTTGTTTAACCACAGCCCAAAAATATTTAATGGAAAATTAAAGAACAAAGTGTAAGTTTTTAATCACACACAACTCTAAGTAGCATAATGAAATTCCATGCCTTCCCACTCTGTTCCATGGAGACATGATTCATCTCTCTGTGGTTGTATCAGGACTACTGTATAAGCCACCTACCTGTACTTAGTAGCCACTTAGGCTGTCACAGTATTGCATAACTTGTATTCAGGTAACAGTTACTTAATTTAATAATGGCCCCGAAATACAAGGGCAGTGATGGAGGCAATTCACATCTGTCAAAGAAAAGTCATAACGTGCTTCCTTTAAGTGAAAACATGAAAATTCTCTACTTACTAAGGAAAGAAAAAAATTTTCTGCTAAGATTGCCAAGATCTGCCATAAGAACAAATCTATTCATGAAGTTGTGCAGAAGAAAAAATTTTGTCCTGTTGCTTCTCATACTGCAAAAGTTATGGCAACAGTGTGTGATAAATGCTTAAGTGGAAAAGGCATTAAATTTGTGGATCGAAGACATGAACAGGAAGCATGTTCTGATTGATGGCAGAAAATTGTGCCTGAAGGCATTGAGCCTATGTGAAGATTTTTTGAAGGAATCCCCCGAAAGGAGTGACATCAAGTTATTTACTGCAACTAAAGGATGGTTACGTAGATTGAGGAATAGGTTTGAACTGAGAAAGCAAAAAAAATTAATGGAGAGGCTCTGTTTGTCAGTGAAGAAGTGCTGCCAGATTGCTGGCAGAGTTGAAGAGCAATTCTTCAATTTTGATTAAATGAGGCTGTTTAGGAAGAAGATTTCCAGTAGAACCTACGTTCATAAAAGTGCAAAGGAGGCACCAGGGCATAAAACATGGAAGGACAGATTAACTCTGGTGAGTATAGTACAATAAAATATTTTGAGAGAGGGAGAAAGAAGGAAATGTGTTTACTTTACTGTTAAATGTATTGTTATAATTGTTCTGTTTTGTTGTTAATCTCTTTTTCTAAGCTTAATAAATTACATTATACTCTAGGTGTATGTATATGGGAGAAAACACACATAGGATTCAGTTCCATTCACTGTTTCAGGCATCCACTGGAGGTCTTAGAATGTATTCACTGGATAAGGGGACTGCTGTACATAGAAAACAGTGCCAGCAGACAGACGTGGTCTATGTGAGAGATCCTGTATTTAAAGGCTGTTGTACAGTTGTATGGCCATATATATGAACTGATTGCAGGTGTTCTTTACAAAGGAAAATGTAAAAATAAACAAAAAACAAAACAAAACCTCTGAGTACACTTTTTGTTTGTAGTAATTTTCCCTGGGGTCAGAGCCTCTTACCTGACTTCTTCTTCCCTTCCCTCCCTAAAGCTACCAGCTTACTCTTAACCCCATTACCATCTCTGCTGTAATTCAGGCAGAAATATTTAAACATAAGTTTCTGAATTTGCAGTCATTGAATCAATATGCCTGTGATGGTTTTCCTCTCTAGTGCTTTCCCTCTTTGTCTAGTGTAAGTGTTAGCCATTTTGCAAGATTGTTGGAAGAGCTGGATGAGAAGGACAATGAAAACTGGGATTCATTTGAATGTTTTGGAGGTTAGAAGTGCCGTTTGTTGTCAGGTGATAAATTAAATAGTATTTGGCCGGCGCCGCGGCTCACTAGGCTAATCCTCCGCCTGCGGTGCCAGCACACTGGGTTCTAGTCCCTGTCGGGGTGCCGGATGCTATCCCGGTTGCTCCTCTTCCAGGCCAGCTCTCTGCTATGCCCCGGGAGTGCAGTGGAGGATGGCCCAAGTGCTTGGGCCCTGCACCCGCCTGGGAGACCAGGAGAAGCTCCTGGCTCCTGGCTTCGGATCAGCGCCATGCGCAGGCCGCAGCGCGCTGGCTGCGGCGGCCATTGGAGGGTGAACCAAGGGCAAAGGAAGACCTTTCTCTCTCTCTCTCACTGTCCACTCTGCCTGTCCAAAAAAAAAAGTATTGTACAAGGTGAGTCATGGCAGGCTTTTGTATTATGCTAAAGATGAGGTGATGACAACCAGTTTTGAGGAAAGTCAGAATTGAGGCCAGTTAAATGAATGAATTGAAGGCAATAAGGTAAATCCTCAGTTTTAAGACTAAGTTCCTTTAAAAATTATGTTCATTTATACAATCTTACTCTCAAATGCAGTTTTCAAAAGTGTGACTTCATGTTTGTGTGTTAACTTTTCCTAGGGAAATAGAAAGCATGATATAATTTATATGCTTACATTCGATTTATATAGGCAAATACAGATCTTATTTTGAATTGGTATAATTTTTATCTATTAAATGCATAGGTCTTAATTGTTCTGTTTGATGAGTTTAGACAATTGTGTATATATCATGTAATGACCACTCAAACTAGGTGTAATCTATAATCATTACTGCAGAAAATCCTGTGCCACCTTTCAATTTACTACTCTGTGGTCCAGAAGAAATGCTTTCTTACCTCTGTCGATGTAGATTACATTTCCTTATTCTTTTCTTTAGATTTATTTTTTATTTTATTCTATTTATTTGAAAGGCAGAGTTAGAGGGAAAGACAGAGGCAGGTCATCCATCCCCAACGTGGCTGCAACGGCCAAGGCTGGGCCAGCCTGAACCCAGGAACCAGGAGCATCTTCCATGTCTCCCATCTTGGGCCGCCTTCTTTCCCAGGCACATTTACTGGAAGCTGAATTGGAAGTGGAGCAGCCAAGAATTGAACTAGCACCCATATAGGATGCCGGCACTGAAGGTGTTGGCTTATCCCGTTACGGCACAACACCAGCCCCAGTTTTGCTTGTTCTTACACATTAATATTGCTTTGTTTTTGTCTTATTTTGACTTCTTTTATTCAACCTATGTTTTTGAGATACATCCACAATGATATGATTTTTTTCCTATTTTATTGCTAAATAATATACCATTGTATTGTTGTTTCATAATTTGCTTATCCATTCTCCTATTGAGAATGTTTGAGAGTGAGTCTTTTTCACTATCAATCATCACTAGATGGATTTTTTCCAATTCTATTTGTGGTCATATATTTTATTTCTTTTGGTTTAAGTACTTAGAAATGGAATTGATAGACTCCATGCATGTTTAAGCTTTAAACAATCTGTAAAAATAGTTCTCTGAAGTGGTTTAACACTCCACTGGCAGTAAATAGTATTTCTGATGGGTCTACATTTTTACTAGCATTTGATTTATTAATCTTTTTAAATTTAGCCATTCTAGTGAGTATTTAAATTTATATTAAATTTACATTTCTTTTTCTCCCTCCCTCTGTTCCTTGCTGAGAGAGAGAGAGAGGGAGGGAGGGAGGGAAGGAGGGAGAGGGAGAGGGAGAGAGAGAGAGATGTTCCATCTGCTGGTTCACTCCCCACATGGCTTGGACCAGGCTGAATCCAGGAGCCTGGAACTCCATCTGAGTCTCCCATATTGGTGGCAGGGAGCTAGATTGGAAGAAGAGTAGCTGGGACTTGAACCTGTATGAATGTGGGAACCCGCTCTGTCATGTCATCCTCTGTATTTTTCTAATGATTATTACTTGTTGAGTCCTTTAGTGTGTGCTTGTTGATCATTCCTGTATCTTTTTGAAATAATTGTTGAAGTATACTTACATTGTTCATTAGGCTGTTCATCTTGTGCTTTTTTTTTAATGGGTTCTTTATATATTTGAGATGCTACAGTGCCTTTATCCTATAAATGTTTCTTCCCAGCCTAAATCTTTCATACTCATTTTCTAATTTTTTTTTAAGTTTAGTGTAGATTTTGTACAGTTGTTTCTATTTTAATTTATAAAATTTATGTTTCCTGTACTGTTTTAAAACTGTAATCTTGGGGACATTCTAATTATTTTGCTCTCCAGCTTTTAATAGAATATTTAATAATGAGCTATAGATTGCTTGTCTAAATTATAAAGTTGCTGTTTTTCCTTAAATTTTGCAAATCTGATTTTGTATATGAATTATTTTGCTTCATTTCATTGGATACTTAACATTTGCCTTTTTGTTTTACTTGATCAAACTGGTATACAGTAAACGTGAGGAAAGTTGTATTTTTATAGTTTATGAATATATTTTAGTGAACAGTGAGTTCACAGCTTTGTTTCTTGTTTTGGTTACCTTACAGCATGAAAAACATCTATTTTATTGATTTTTTATAACTGCTAAATTTTAACATGTGGTTAGATGAAAAATATTATACTTTAGAAGACATTTCTTGGTGTGGAAACTAATTTATACATACATTAGTGGGGGAATAAATTGTGTAGATTCTCCATTAGATTTTTGATTTATGAATGCTTTGAATTTTAATATTACTCCAATTTTGATTCATCTGAAGCCAGCTAGGTAGGAAAGATAATACCCTGTTCCAGAGCTATTTAATATTTAAAGGTCAGGGCTGGTGCTGTCGCATAACTGGTAAAACTGTCAACTGTGGTACATCATCCCATATGGGTTCCAGCTCACATCCCAGCTGCTCCACTTGCAGTCCAGCTCCCTGCTAGTGTGCCTGGGAAAGCAATGGAGGATTGCCCAAGTCCTTGGGCCCCTGCACTAACGTGGTAGAAAAGGAAGAAGCTCCTGGCTCCATACTTTGGATGAGCCCAGCTCTGGCCATTTGGGGAGTGAACCAGCAGATGGAAGATCTCTCTCTCTTTCATGTCTCTCCCTCTCTCTCTGAATCTGCGTCTCTCTCTCGCTCTGATTCTGCCTTTCAAATAAATAAATAAATAAGTCTTTTAAAAAATATTCAAAGCTCATCAAGTAAATAAGCCTTTGTCAAATCAAATGGCTATAAACACAATTTTAGGAAGATCAATTTTAAATATTGCCTGGGGTGGAATAGAACCTAACCACTTAGTCTCTATGGAGTTACTCCTTTTTCTTCTCTCCCACTTCTGTAGAGTGGCATTTTGTATCTGTATATTAAAAGAATCTAGGTAAGTTTTTTCTTGTTAAAGGAGAAGTGGTTACAGATTTTGAAGCAAGTTTTACCTAATGCCTTTCCCCGTGAAGTTTCTGTTCTACTATCTTACTGTTCTGTTACTATTAACATACTGTGTATTTTTGTTTTTAAAGATTTATTTATTTGACAGGCAGAGTGACAGAGGGAGAGACAGAGAGATGCTCCATTCTCTGCTCCTCCCCTCTATTGACTGCAATAGCCAGGGCTGGGCCAGACCAAAGCCAGGATCCAGGAACTCTGTCATAGTCTCACATGTGGGTCGCAGGGCCCTGAGCTGCTTTCCCAGGCACATTATCAGGAAGCTGGTTTGGAATTGGGATATTCAGGATCTGAACTGGCACTCCTATATGGGCTAGTTGTTAGCATCACAAGTGGCAGCTTAACTTGCTGTGCCACAGTGCCAGCCCATATCCTACTGTTTTTGATTCACTAAAACTAGCCAGGATTCTGGATCTGGCAATAAAGTTTTTGGCATGAGACAGAAAAGACTTATTTTCTATTCCTTCTTAAACCTTGTTGCTTTTTACTTATTTATAGTGTTATGAAGCTGGTTGCTTGGAGAATGGGATTACTGAATCATGTGCTGTATCTCGTTCAAAAGAGTTTGGCGGAGGTGAGTATTTTTGAGGTTGAGAAAATAATTCAGAGATAAGTTTGAAAGGACTCTGTCCATTAAGTAGAGAAATCATGACATAAGTAAGCAAGGCCAGTAAAGTTGACAGTTCCTAAGATTAGCTTGCCCAATATATGCTTCCTACAACTATGCATACAATTAGAAAGTTCTGTTGTCATTTTTAGGCTTTGGCCGTTGTCTTAAATGAAGTTATAATTATATTTGAGTAAGGAAATGTTTGAAACAATAGGGGAAAATAGCTCTTAATTTTCCTGCTAGTCAAACTCTCCAGATTCTATCATTAATTTCTTGATTTTGATTTAATTTTTATTTCTATAGGATAGAAAGTATGCAATTTGAGTTAAAAGAAGATTATAGAATCACCTTTGGGAGTCCTTCACAAATAGTCTTTGTTTCTTTGGTCACATTTATAACTTTTGATTGTTAGTATTTGCTTGAAAAAGAGAGCTTGCAATGGAGGCTCTTCCATTGCAGTTGTCTCTTAATGGCTTGAGAATCTTTCACGTTAAATTAGAAGCTGTCTCTGTTTATTGAACATCTGTCTACTCTTTCTGGTTCTTTGGTAGGACTGTTACCTATAACACATATATAGCATTGTAAAGTGTTAGTATATTATCTATATTATCCTTGTCTTACAGAAGAAACTTAAAGATGAATGAGACAGCAGAGCTGGGAAACTAAATCTACACCAAATTCTTTTCCACACTACTTGTTACCACCCTGGAATTTCTCCATGCCAGTTCATTCTACCACTTTGATTATTCATTTGCCAATGTCATTTTTTACTTAGTGTTATTCTTGAACTATCCTAGATTTTAGTGCACTATATCACATGTGTTCTGTCATCAAAGAATATTTTAAGATACTTTGACCCATATGATTATTAAATTTTCTAATATGTAAACTTAGAAGTATGTTTGTTGTAAACATGTAGACAATTATAATTAAAAATGTGGTCAGTTACCGTGCTTGATTTTAAAATACCATTCTAAATAATACCAACTCTTTTTCTGTAGTTTATATTTCAGTTTTTTTTTTTTTGCAATACCCGCAAAAACCTTGTTGTTTGTAAATTTTGTTCTAAGTGTTACAGCTTATAAAAATGTTGAACTTCTGTGCTGCCATCAAATTAACTGTCCCCTAACTTGTAGACTGTCAGCAGATTGATAACCAAGCTTCACCATCATTCAGGCAGACAAAAAGGAGAACACAGAGTTGAAATGTATGTGATGGAAAAAGAGTGTTCAAGGGTGTGCTGCCACTGCACAAATACCCTAATTTAAGTCACTAAATGTATGGAGAGGCCCATCTCCCCAGCCACATCTTATGTATTTCAGCCCACATCTGAAACTTTATATCATAGAGATAACTATTTTTAAAATTTATTTTATTTATTTGAAAGAGTTACGGGGGGGGGGGGTCTTCCATCCACTGAGTCTCTCCACAGATAGCTGCAATGGCTAGAGCTGGGCCAGGATGTGACTAGGAGCCCGGAGCTTCTTTCAGGTTTCCCACATGGGTAGCAAGGGCCCAAATACCTGGGCCATCTTTCACTTCTTTTCCCAACCATTAGCAGGAAGCTGGATCAGAAGTGGAGAAAATAGGACACGAACCAGTGACCATATGGGACGGCAGTGTCATAGGCGGCGGCTTTACCTGCTATACTACAAATGCTGGCCTCCAGAGATACAACTTAATGTCTGTAATCTTGGAGTCTATAGATTAGTATCTTCTTCTGTCTAGTAAATACATTTACTTTCCATCTGTAGGATACTAAAATCTCTGGAGGAATTGCAAATTTTATCATTTCAATCATACGAAGTAAAATTGCTTCAATAGCCTTTACATGTACTGTTAAATCAGTTTGAGGCACAACTCATGTGTAGCCATTTTCCTAGCTAGTTTGAAGGAAGGGGTAAGTCTATTCTTTTCACCTTGTTTTCCTGTTCTACAAATCTGAAAAGTTTTAAAATTAGTTTATACACTAACATACCGTAATTCTTTGTGATCCCTTTTTTAAAGACCATTCTTAGAAATGTATATAATAGCCAGCAGGTAACACCTGTTTTTCTTGTCATAGGCACTACCAAGATTTTTGATAAACCAAGGAAACGAAAAAGACAGAGGCATGTTGCAGCTAAGGTGCAGTGTAAAAAAGTGAAAAATGACGACTCATCAAAAGGGATGCCAGGGTCAGAGGTATTACCAAGTTCCTCATCTTTAACCTTCCAAAGAGAAGTTCCTTTGCACTGTAGAGGCCACACCCCTCTTCCCCTTGAATTTGCTTAAGAATAGTATTCTACTGAAATGGCTAATAAGTGTAAGGAATCTTGAAGAAAAGGAAGGACTGATCCTAGTAAAATAATTATTTGCATAGTCCACGTAGTGCAACTATGCATATGGCCTTTTTTAGAAGATTACATCCAGTGCTTTAGGTGTCATGTAAAATGTATATTGAGTAAATTTTTTTCTAAAACCAGAGAGCACAATAGCAAGTATACCATACAATCTGCATAAAGTTTGATATTGCCCTTTGAAAGTTGAGGCTGCTGCAATTAAGGGGAATGTTGATTTGCTTATTTATTGACCATTAATTGCTTAATTTTAATATAATGTTTATATATATCAGCTTTCAGGAAATGAAGATACATTTAAAACCATTTCCTTGTAGAGCATCAGTGCAGTCATTGATGCTACCTCTGGCTTTCCAGCTAATTTAATGAAAATTAGAAGAAGTCAAGTCAACATCAAATGTTAAGATGCAGAGTGTTTCTTTCCAGTACAATATGAATAGAATGCCCAAGGGGGGCATTATATAGGAAACACTGATCTTGAAAGGACAAATAAGTAATCAAATAAACTTAAGAATGTTTTCTCTCCCTTAGTGAAACCTTAAAATGGAACAGCCCAAAAAGTTCCAGTGGAACAGCCTCAGAGCAGTTAGTGGCAGGGCATGAGGCGCCCACTACCCGCCCAATCACAGCAGGGTTAGAACTAACATTGCATGCAGTCCGCCCGCGTGATTGGCTGAACATCTGTAAGTGCTTAATGGCTAGACAAATAGCAGCCCAGAGGGAGGGGGTCAAATGGAGGAGACATCGATAATACAGATGTGGGACATTATCTTTTCTCTGCAAGGGAGAACTCATGGCTCACAGGACGACTGCAAGTCCTAAGGAGGCTGTTGAGGAGGGCGTAGAACACGACCCTGGGATGCCCGCGTCTAAAAAAATGCAGGGTGAACGAGGTGGCGGAGCTGCACTCAAGGAGAATGTTTGTCAGGTAGAGAATGTTTGCCCACTTGTATTTTCATTGCATGCTTATCTTCTAAGGGAAACCCTCTCTGTGTCTCTTAGTAACTCAATTATCACAGAATAAATGTGCTTTTGAACGATTCCAGTAGAGTCACTCCATTTAAGGCTGTAATTCTTCCATCTACCCAAAGAGAAAGGAAGAGAAAAAGTTTTCAAGAGTGATTTTAGCTTTGAGATTTTTTTGTTTGCTTGTTTTAAAGTGATAACTTTAGAAAGCCTATGACATATTTTCTGGTTTAATAAATACTTACACAGTATTTACTATGTATCAGGGAACATTCCAAGCACTTTATAAAGATTACATCATTCAGTCATAGTGTTCTCATCGGGTAGCAAGAAGCTCAGTCATGCAGGTTAAATAGCCTGTTTGAGGGATACCATAAAGCCCAGATGTAAACTGAGGCTGTGTGCATGTAAAGCCTTCACATTGTCAGGTTAGGTTGGGACGCACTCTCCGTATCTGAGATACCACTCTGTTGTTAACGTGCCTTTGTGTGGCTTTGGGAGGAGTCAATTAAATTGTTGCTTTGTGCATGTTCTTTTTTTTTATTTTTTTTAAAGGTTCTAAATTTACTTATGTAAATTCTTAAAGCCTGTCATATAAAATTTGAAAATATTACTTTGTTTTCATCGAAACTATTAGAAAGGCTCAGAATATGTTGTGACTAATTTAATTTCATTCCAATTTTTTTTTGCTTATTCCTTTTCACTACTATATAAAGAATGCTGATCGTATTCAGACTAAATCTCAAACACAGTATTAATGCTCAGACATTTATGCCCAGTGTTTACTGAGCTGGAAAAGTCATAGTCCAAATACATTTTACAAAGATTATTTGAAAAAAAAAAAAAAAGTTCACAGATATGCTGTCTCTGTGGCGCTGGGTTGTGTGGATCAGTCTGTGAATTTGTTTTCCTGTTGTTAGCGCTTTCACTTACTCTGTTGTGACCTAGTTTTAAAAATGCATTGTGTGGTCCATAACAGTTAATTTGAAAGTTTTGTTCTTTCATTTTTTACTGTATTTGAAGTCTCTCTGAATTTGTGAAAACTGATATGATTGGCACTCTGTACATACAAAGTAAAATATATAACATGGCATTTTTCAGTTTCTGCATATTGATAGTGGACAATGAGAGATTCAAATATTTGAGAACAGCTTATACTACCAGTTTATTATGGCTATAGAATTCCTTTTTGGCCTTTCTTCCCACAATGTTCCTACTCATTTATTTATTTATGCTTTGATGTCTTTGGGTGACCAACATCTGTTCTGTTTCTTTGAGTCCTTAAGACAATAGAACTTGCTGAGTCAGTTTTCTCTTTCTTGCCTTACATAAGTATAATTGGCTCTTCTATATGTAGGTTTCATATCCTTAGATTCAGTCAGTCATAGATCAGAAATTGAGGGGTGGGAGTGGGCAGGATTGTTGCTGACTATGTAGTTAGGTGAAGATGGTTACATCTGTACTGAACATGTGCAGACTTTTTTTTCCCCTTGCCATTATTCCTTAAACAATATGGTGCAACAACTTTTTACATAGAAATCTGAGGTATTATTAATATAAATTTAGAGTATATGGGAGAATGTGCATACATTATGTGCAAATAGTGTGCTATTTTATGTAAGGGCTTTGAGCATGTGCTGAGTTTGTCATTAGTGGGGTGGAGTATGTAAGGCCTTTCACACACCCCCTCCCCATTTTTAGCATCTTTATGCTAATTATAGGGATACAAATCAGGATTTTAGAGTGGTGATAGAAGCAAATGTTGAGAATTTGCAGAATTTTCATAGCTCTTACAGTGTCTTCATAGCAACTGTTTTGGATTCTTATTCCTAAACCTCTGTCTTAAATGACACTGCCTTAGATGAGATTGTTTCAGAAACACAGTCACTTTGAGATGGTTCTAGATTCATCTCCTAGGGCTGGTCAGAAGTTTATAGGAGCAGCAGGCCAGCGTCACTATCATCAACCACTACAGTAGCCTCCTGACTTGTCTCTCTTCTCTTCTCTACTCTGCTCTGCCCTTTTTGTCTTGAAGTCAGTTCTCTGTGTAGCAGTTGGAGGGCTCTTTTTAAAAGAACAATTGGGGGCCTGCACTGTGATGCAGGGTGTTAATGCCCTGGCCTGAAGCACTGGCATCCCATATGGGCACCAGTTCGAGACTCGGCTGCTCCTCTTCTGATCCAGCTCTCTGTTATGGCCTGGGAAAGCAGTAGAAGATGGCCCAAGTCCTTGGGCCCCTGCACCCGTGTGGGAGACCTGGAAGAAGCTCCTGACTCCTGACTTCGGATTGGCACAGCTCTGACTATTGCGGTCGATTGGGGAGTGAACCATCTGATGGAATACCCATCTCTCTGTCTCTGTCTCTCTGTCTCTGTCTCTCTCTTTCTCCCTCCCCCCCATCCTCTCTCTCTGTAACTGGCTTTCAAATAAATAAATAAAACTTAAAAAATAAAAAAAGGAACTGATTTTAGCCATCCCTTGGTAAAACTATAAAGGCACACCTTTGCGATTAGAATAAAATCTGAAACTACAAGCATCTACATCTTTCTTGCTTGTTTTTTTTTAATCTTTTATTTATTTATTTATTTATTTGGCTGCTTCGTACCTTGGTCTACATAGACACTGTCTTTCCTAGTGATTCTCAAACAGTCCATAGGATTTCCTCTTGTGGATTTTCTGTACTTGCTGCTCGCTGGGTCCTTCAAATCTTCAAGTGGTTGAAACGTCATTACAAGCTGTGCTTGAGATGTCATCCCTGATCACCAATCTGTTTTGAATCTGTTTTGATTTTCTACTCAACATTTGTTATCTGACCTTTCCTATTTAATTGTTCACTTGCATCTTTTATTACTAGAATATAAGAACCTTAAAAGCCAGAAACTTTGTGATGCCTGGCACAGAGGAGGTAATTATTAGCTATTAGTAGAATGAATGGTGACATTTCTTGTTTCTGACAAAACTGCTTCTTAACCTTGTTTTCATGAGGCCCTTCCAATTGAGAGTTTCAAAGACCTTTTTCTACAGACAGACTTCTTTTCTTGTTTTAACAGAACTGTGAGAAACTGGGTGAGCTGCTCTTGTGTGAGGCTCAGTGCTGTGGGGCTTTCCACCTGGAGTGCCTTGGGTTGACTGAGATGCCCAGAGGAAAATTCATCTGCAATGAATGTCGAACAGGTAAAGTAGATACCAAAGAGTCTTATGAAGATGGTTTTTGTTGTAAGCTTTTCAAGGGGGAAAAACATTAACTGGGGACACTGTTTTGTTTTACTACTGGGCTGGTTGCTACAGAATCAGAAATGGGTTCTTTGTGGTCCCTGCCCTCAGAAAAGTATACCAAATAATAAATGGATCACATTATTGGAAGTATAGTGTGAACAAGTATGAACTCTACCATTTAGGAAGAAAACTGAGTTTGGCTTGGAAAAGATAGAAATTGCTCTGGGGCAAGAAAAGGGCACAGAGTCTAGTAATGAAAGTGCATGAAATGTTGTGGGGTGAGAAAGATATGCAGTGTATTTAGAGTTTGAGATATTTTAGTTAATAGTAGAAGGAGTGACTAAGGAGAGCTTTTCAGTGACAGGTGATATTTTATGTTTCTTGGTCTGGTGGTGTGTTTATGAACTATACACTTAGGATTGTTTTTTTGTTAATTTATTTGAGAGGCAGAGTTACAGAGAGAGAGATCTTCCACCTGCTGGTTAACTTTCCAAATGGCCGCAAAGGCCAGAGCTGGGCCAATCCAAAGCCGGGGAGTCAGGAGCTTCTTCTGGGTCTCCTATGTGGGTTCAGGGGCCCAAACTTTTGGGCCATCTTCCACTGCTTTTCCAGGCTATAAGCAGAGAGCTAAATCAGAAGAACAGCAGCCGGGAAACGAACTGAAACCCATATGGGATGCCGGCACCATAGTCGGAAGCTTAGCCTGCTATACCACAGTGCCAGCCCTGGATTTATGCATTTTCATAAGGCAAGAAAGAAGTTGGTTTTTGATGCCACTTGGGAAATCCTTTTTCCATTACAGAGTGGTAGTTTGAGACATGGCCGTTCTTGCTTTGGATCCCAGCACCCCACTTAATTCTTCTGGGAAGCACCAGATAATGACTGAAGTATTTGAGTCCCTGCCACCAATGTGGCAGGCATGAATTCCTGGCTCCTGGCTTCAACCTGGTCCAGCCCAAGCTCATGCAACCATTTGTGTAGTGAAAGAGCAAATGAAAAAATGTCTTTCTGGCCTGTGCAGCGGCTCAATAGGCTAATCCTCTGCCTGCGGCGCCGGCACACCAGGTTCTAGTCCTAGTCGGGGCGCTGGATTCTGTCCCGGTTGCTCCTCTTCCAGTCCAGCTCTCTGCTGTGGCCCGGGAGTGCAGTGGAGGATGGCCCAAGTCCTTGGGCCCTGCACCAGTATGGGAGACCAGGATAAGTGCCCGGCTCGTGGCTTCGGATCAGCGCGGTGTGCTGGCCGCAGCGTCCATTGGAGGGTGAACCAATGGAAAAGGAAGATCTTTCTCTCTGTCTCTCACTGTCCACTCTGCCTGTCAATGCAATGCCTGCCTCCCATATGGGCGCTGTTCTGTGTCTTGGCTGCTCTACTTTTGATCTAGCTCCTTGCTAATGTGCTTGAGAAAGCAGTTGAAGATGGCCCAAGTCCTTGTTTCTCTGCACCCCTGTGTTAGAGCCAGAAGGAGTTCTAGACTCCTTGTTTCAGCCTGGCACAGCCTCAGTCACAGAGGCTATTTGGGGCATGAACCAGCAGATGGAAGACCTCTCTTTGTGTCTTTCCCTCTTTCTGTAACTTTGCCTTTCAAATAAATAAATGTCTTTTTTTTTTTTTTTTAAATATTTATTCGAAAGCAGAGTAACAGAGAGAGGAAGCTCTCTCTGTCTCTGCCTTTGCCTCTCTATAACTCTTTCTTTCGAATGGATAATTAATTTTTTTTTAAAAAAAGAGAGAGATGGAGCAGCCAGGACTCTAACTGGAACCCATATGGGATGCTGACGCCTCAGGCAATGGCTTTACCCACTACACCACAGTGCCAGCCCCATAAGTACGTCTTTGAGAATGTGTGAATGGGGATTGGATCAGAAAATAGGAATGGTCAGCTGAGACTAGCTTATCTTAAGGGCATGTTCATTTTTCAGCATCATTATGTAGGTACTACAGCATTTAAGTAGTAGAAAAATCAGAGATGAAAGTATCAGTCTTATGCTCTTAAGTCATTGAAGCCCTAGTTGTAGATGATGTCATCTAAAGAGAAGGCATCTGTGTAGTGAGAGGAGGGCCATAGGAGGAACTGCTGGAGTCAGCATCTATAAAATAGCTGTCGGTATCTATAAAACCACAGGAGTGGAGTGTCATTGGCAGAGGCAGATGTGGCAAAGACACTAAGGAAGATGAAGAGTGAAAAGAGGCTTTTGTACTTGAAGATGAGAATGTGTTTGACATTTTGCCAGAGTGTACTAAATCAGGTTGAATGGTGATTGGGGAGCAGTGTACTCTGCTTCTTGAAGTTGACTTTAGTGGTTTGTAGGATACAGTTCTTAAACTAGGATAGTAAATAAATTTCTACAAAGAGTGTAAAAGGGTGGAGTATACTTACAGCATCAGAAGAGCATATTTTTTGAAAAGGTAGCATTGAAATGAGATGATTTTGTGGAGTAATGAGGCAGATAAAGGAAGCTGGTTTATTCCCCAAATAACTGCAACAGCTGGAGTTGGCCCAGGCTGAAGCCATAAGCCTGGAATGATCTCCCATGTGGGTGCAGGGTCCCAAGGACTTGGGTCATCTTTTCCTGCTTTCCCAGATGCATTAGCAGGTAGCTGGATCAGAAGTGGAGCAGACCAGAAGCAAACAGGCGGTTATATGGGTTGCTGGCATTGCAAGCAGCAGCTTAAACCCCTGTGCCACAGCACTGGCCCCAGTTAGTTTTCTTACACCTAATCTATAGCTTGCTTTTTTGTTTTCCTTTAAAAATTTTTAAAAATTATTTTAGTTTTTAAAATTGGCATAATTGTATACGTTTATGGGGTACAGTGGGCAACTTTGATACATGTGTATATTATGCAATGATCAACTCAATGTGATAAGCTGTACTGATCACCTCAAAGATTCATCTTTTCTTTGTGGTGGTACCATTTGATATCTCTTCTTACAGCTTTTTTGAAACCTATGTTATATCATTGTTATTTGTGGTTACGTTTCCTATTAATAGATAATCAGAATTCATTCCTTCCAGCTAGTTGTAACCTTCTGCTCATGTCCTCAATTCCTGTCTCCTCCTTATGCTGTGCAGTGACATTTTAAAGATTCCACTTGTCTTTCTGTCCCTGACTTGACTTAACATCCTCTAGTTCCCACCCATATTGTTGCAAACAAACAACCCGATTTCATCTTTTTTGCGGCAATATTCTTTTGTATGTACCATGTTTTCTTTTTTGCGTTTATCCAGGTAATTTTCTATCTTGACTGTTGTGAGTAGTGCTGGAATAAACATGAGAGTGCAGCTATCTCTTTGATGTACTGATTTATTTTCCTTTCGTTGTATATCCAGTAGTGGGATTGCTGGGTCTTTGTTTACATTTTTTTTAAATTTATTTATTTATTTATCTAAATATTTATTCATTTTCCTTGAAAGTCAGAGTTAGAGAGAAGGAGCGGCGGGGGGTGGGGGGGGGACATTGTTCTGCTAGTTCACTCCCCAATTGGCCACAACTGCCAGGAGCCAGGAGCTTCCTCCAGATCTCCCATGCAGGTATAGGGGCCCAAGTACTTGGGCCTGTCTTCTACTGCTTTCCCAGACCCTAGCAGAGAGCTGGATCGGAAGTGGAGCAGTTGGGACTGGAACCGGCGGCCATATGGGATGCCAGCATTGCAGGCAGCAGCTTAACCTGCTGTGCCACAGCTCCTTGTTGATTTTTTTTTTTGAGGAACCTTCATAAGGTTTTCCATGTTGGCTGCACTAATTTATATTCCTACCAGTTGTGTATTAGTGTTCTCTTGTCTATGTCCTAACCAACACTGTCTTGTCTTTCTTTCTTTTTTTTTTTTAATTTTATTTATGTATTTATTTGAGATATAAAGAGAGAGGGAGAGACAGAGAGAAACGTCTTCCATCTGCTGGTTCACTTCCCAGATGGCCGCAATGGCCAGAGCTAAGCCGATCCAAAGCCAGGAGCTTGGAGCTTCCTCTGGGTTTCCCACGTGGTTGCAGAGGCCCAAGGACTTGGGGCCATCTTCAACTGTTTTCCCAGGTCTTTGCAGAAAGCTTGATAGGAAGAACAGCTGGAACTTGAACCAGCACCCATATGGGATTCTGGTGCCGCAGGTGGAGGCTTAGCCCACTACACCAGCCCCAACACTGCTTTATGTTTCTACATTAGCCATTCTGAGTAGAGTCAGATGATTATTATAGTTTTGATTCACATTTTTCTATGTGGTGTTGATCATTTTTTAAATACACTTGTGGGCTGTTTTTATTTCTCCTTTTGAGAAATATTGATTATGGTCTTTCACTCATTTTTAATTGGATGTTTTTGAGTTTTGGGTTGTTTCAGTTCCTTATATTCTGGATATTAACCCTTTGCCGACTGTATAATTTCCAAATATTTTCTCTTGTTTAGTAGTTTGTCTTGTCACTCAGTTGATTGTTCCTTTACTGTGCAGAAACTTTTTAGATTGATACAATCCCATGTTGCCTGTGCTTGGAGGTCATATCCAAAATGTCTTTGACCAGTGTAGTATTAGGTAGCGGTTTCTCTGTCTTCTTCTAATAGTTTCATATCTTATATTTAAGTCTTTAATCCATCTTGAAAACAGTTTTGTATGAGAGATAAGGGTAAGGTTTTGTTTTTCTGCATGTGGGTATCCTTCCTCAATGTGTTCTTGACGCCTTTATGAAAGATCGGTTATCTGTAGATGGCAGGGATTTATTTCTGAACCCTTTGTGTTCCATTGGTCTGTGTGTTTTTTCCAAAACAGTGCTGTTTTGATTACTGTAGCTTTGTACTATATTTTAATCTGTCTTACCACAATGCCTCTAGCTTTGTGGTTTTTTTGTTTGTTGTTTTTTCTATTTCTTAAGATTGCTTTGACTGTTCCGGCTCTTATTTTAGTTCCATATAAATTTTAGGATTAATCTATTTCTGTGAAGAAATTCATTGGTGTTTTAATAGGACATGTGTGGATTCGATAGATCATTTTAGATAGCATGTCATTTTAGCAATATTCTTTGGTTTTGTGAACAGGCAGTATCTACATTTATGACATGATATTCAGTGCTTTGTAGTTTGTAGTATAGAGATTTTTACCTCCTTGGTTAATTTTACTCCACATTTTTGTAGGTATTGTAAATAGAACTGATTCCTTGATTTCTTTTTCAGACAGTTAACTATTAACATATAGAAATGCTACAAATTTTTTTTTTGCAACTTATTTTTATATGTTCACTTTGTTCTGCAACATTACTGAATTTGGATATTAGTTCTAGTTTTTGGTGGAATCTTTTAGCATTTTCTTGTCTCCACCAAGGGACAGTTTGCCCTCCCCTTTTTTGATTTGGATGCCACTTAATTGTTTTTCTACATTCTACTTCAGTAGGTTCATTTTCTTAATGATGTCTTTAGAAAAGCTGAAGAATTTAATTGTGATGACATCTAGTTTATCAGTTTGCTTTTTTAATTGACCTTGCTTTGGTGTCATTTAAATCAATCTTTTTAAAGATTGATTTATTTATTTTGAAAAAGTTTTACAGCTAGAGAGAGAGAGAGAATCTTCCATCTGCTGGTTTACTTCCCAAATGGCCTCAATGGCCAGCACTAGGCCAGGCTAAAACAGGAGTCAGGAGTTTCATCTGGATCTTCCACATGGTGGCAGGGGCTCAAAATCTGAACCATCTTCCACTGCTTTCCCAGGCCATTAACAGCGAGCTGTATTGGAAGTAGAGCAGCTGAAATTGAAATGGTGCCCATATGGGATGCTGACGTTGAGGGAACACTTTACCCACTATGCCGTGAAGCTGGCCTCAAGAAATCTTGCTAGGGCAAGTGTTTAGCCTAACAGATATTTCAGCTGCCAGTTCTAAAGCATCAGGCAGAGGTTTGCTTCTTTATAATTGTGTAGTTAATTTTTTAAAAAATTATTTATTTATATATTTATTTGAAAGAAAGATCTTCCATCCACTGATTCATCCTGAGATGGCCACAACAGGTATGTAGGGCTGACCCAAGTCGAAGCCAGGAGCTTCACCCAGGTGTCCCATGTGGGTGGCGGGAGTCCAAACTGTTGGACCATCTTCTAATGTTTTTTCCAGGGCATTATCAGCAGGGAGCTGGATTGGAAGTGGAGTAGCTGGGACTCAAACCTCTGCCCATATGGGATGCCAGTTTCACAGTTGGCACTTAACTCACTACACCATTATAAAAGCCCTTAATTTGTTGTTTTTTTTTTCAACCTTGTTATTGGGGCCGGTACTGTGGCATAGTAGGTTAAGTCTCCATCTGCATATGGGCACCAGTTCGAGTCCCAACTGCTCCACTTCTGATCCAACTCCCTGCTAATGGTCTGGGAAAGCAATGGAAGATAGCCCAAGTGCTTGGGCCCCTGCACCCATGGGGGTGACCTGGAAGAAGTTCCTGGCTCCTGGCTTCAGCTCAGCCCAGCTCCAGCTGTTGCAGCCATCTGGTGAGTAAACCAGTAGATGGAAGATATATTCTCTCTCAATCTCTCTGTCTCCCCCTCCGCCTTTGTTTTGCTGCATCTCTGCCTTTCAAATAAATAAATAAATCTTTAAAAAATGAACTTTCCATTTGCCTGACTAGCTTGGTTGCATCTTTGAGGTATTCCTTTAATATGTTCTATTCTGTGCATTTCCTGTAAAATATCTTTTAGTAAGATCTAGAGGTTTGATTATATTTAGGTTGTTTTCCTTTTGTCGGTAATGCTTCATTTACAGTATGTACTCCTGTGCATCACATCATCAACATGTTCTGTTAGATTGTCCATTTATAATGATTAAGATTGTTCATTGGTTTCAGCTGTTAGCCTAATCAGTCTGTTTTGAAGTTCCTGTGTAACTCTTCACGTAATAGTTTAGTTTTCTGTAGATGCTTGATTTAGTTTGTAGATTCTTGATTTGTTGTCTTTTCTGGCTTCCCAGGAATCCATACCTGTTTTGTATGTAAACAGAGTGGGGAAGATGTTAAAAGGTGCCTTCTGCCCTTATGTGGAAAGTTCTACCATGAAGAGTGTGTGCAGAAGTACCCACCAACAGTCATGCAGAACAAGGGCTTCCGGTGCTCCCTCCACATCTGTATAACCTGCCATGCTGCTAATCCAGCCAGTGTTTCTGCGTCTAAAGGTATAGTTTCTCATGTGCAACTCTGTAGTTGTGGCACTCAGTTTTTATTGATACAGATATTTTCAAATGAAGTTTGGTAGACCTCTTTCTGGCCTAAGCAGTCACCACATTGTCTTCTATTAAGCCCTGGAGTTCTGGGGTAATTTTAAATGTTGAATTTCATGTGAGATTTAATTTGAAGAAGTTGTCTGCTGCATGTCCTCCTCTCCCTGTTCTAGTTAGAAGATCAAAGTGTTTTGTTTTCTGTGATCATTGTGTCTGTGCTTGTGAGATGTTATGTCATTCAGAAACTTATGTCAGATTTTGGTGTATTGTGTTGATTTATGTTTTATAATGGAAGCTCTTTTCATGGATACTTTGTTCTGCTTAAAAGTTAGGTTGAGAGCTAAGTTTTTAAAAATTTTCTGTGAGTATAGATAGGATCAAGTTTTGAAATCTTCTCATTGGCAAACAATCTTTTCTTTATATTTAACAGTAGTGTTCTGTTAAATGCATATTTCACAACAAGAATTCCTACCCTTCTCAAAGAGGATTGAGCAGACAAAATATAGCAAACATAGATTGGCAGTACCTTTTGTCAGATGATTTCCTTACCCTGTAGATCTCATCAGTCCTGAGTACAATATTTTAATTTGCTGGAACAAAATTAGTTTATCCCCTTTTAAATTGCTATTATTGAAACAATTGCATAAGTAACTAGCTTAATAATGGCTTTTGGTGAATTAGGTTTAGGCGATAGGTTTCTTCTGGAAGAGGCGAGAACTTCATTCACCTGAAAGTCTTAAGAATCGCAGTACCAGGCAAGCAGTACTGTCATCCAGCTCCCCTTTATTTAGTCTGGGACTGATTCCTAGTTTCCTAGCATTCAGGGCAACCGCTGTGGTACTCTAGCCATTGGGGTAAGGCTTTATGTGGTGGGATCTGACTCCCTGTAAACATTTTTCACATAGCTCCCATCTGAGTTTTTATGATGGATAGGGTATTTTCATGTCCATTGTCCTAATATTCCTAACTTGCATATCTGACATTTCTCAATGCTGTCAAATAGACTGACTAACTTATATTATTCTTGTATTTATTGTCTTTGTTTTTCTTTTGTTTCTCCCTGGCTTTCTTGCTTCTCATATATTTAGGACGTCTGATGCGCTGTGTCCGCTGTCCGGTGGCATACCATGCCAATGACTTCTGCCTGGCTGCCGGGTCAAAGATCCTTGCATCTAATAGTATCATCTGTCCTAATCACTTTACCCCTAGACGGGGCTGTCGAAACCATGAGCATGTGAATGTTAGCTGGTGTTTCGTGTGCTCAGAAGGTAAGATTTGACTTCTTGCTGTGTAAGTAGTCTAATGAAAGATAAATATGTTTTTTAAATTGCAACAAAAATACTTTTCTTCACAATACCACTGAAAGAAATATTTTAAAATGGTATCCTGGATTACATATCAGAACTTGGTTTTGTTGCCCAATGGGGAAGAGCATTTAATTTATAATTTTGAATAATTTTATTTTTATTAAAATGATAAACTTGAAGCATAAACAAAAGAACAAACAGAAAGATTCTCCTAAATCCCAACCTCAGAAGAATAAACATTCCTTACTATTTAGGGATATTACTCCAGACATTTATACATGTCAACAAATAGAAGGGTAGATATCTGGATTAAAAATAATTATTTTGTTTTTAGGATTATTTATTTGTTTGAAAGGTAGCATTATATAGAGAAACAGACATCTTTCACTTACTGGTTTACTCCCTGAAATGGCTGCAGCAGACAAGGCTGGGCCAGGCTTCTTGAAGCCAGGAGCCTGGAACTCCATCTATGTCTCCCACGTGGGTGCCAGGGGACAAGTACTTGGGCCATTTTCCACTGCTTTCCCAGACACATTAGCAGGGAGATGGACTGAAAGTGGAGCAGCCAGGGTTGGTGCTGTGGCATAGTGGGTAAAGCCGCTTTCTCTTGCTCCAGCATCCCATTTAGGTACCGATTTGAGTCCAGCTGGTCTGCTGCTTAAAATCAATTATTAAGAGAAAAGTGTTAACAGAGCCAGAAGGGGAAAAGAACAAGGGTGGACAGCAGATTTCTCTATAGAGGGGAACAAAAAAAAAAAAAAAAACATGAAACAGTAGATACTATAGCAGTGTCACCAAAGTTCTCAAAGGAAGAAAGCCTCATTTAGAATTCTATATCCAGTGAAATCACCTGTCAAAACAGAGGTGAATAAAAGGTTTTTCACAGAAATTGAAAGAATTAATTATGTGAACAGCTTAACATTATAAGAAATGTTAAAGTCCTCCAATTAAAAATTGATTCTGGATGGAATTCTGCCTTTATACAAAGGAATGAAGAGCACCAAAAATGCTAAATATGTAGGCAAATACAGACTTTTTTCTTCCAAATAAAGATAGTTCTTTAAGCAAAAGTAGCAGTGTATTTGGTTTATAACCTGTGTAAATAAAATATAACAACAAAGGCTGAGAGGGGTTTTTATTCTGAACACAAAGTGTTATTACTGAAGGACATATCTTATAGATCCTGAACTTCTGTAAAATAATAACAAAAATATGTAGGTTGCAGTTAAAGCAGTGCTTGTGGGGAGGGGGAGGATATTTTAAAAAGTGTAAGACCTGTTTCAAAAGACGAGAAGTATCATGATCTCAGCTTCCTCTTTGAGAAACTAGAAAAAGAAAAGCAAATATAAACAGAAGAAATAGAAATAAATGCAAAAAAATCAATACAATGGAAAAGAAATAGAGAAAAATTGGAAATAAAACATTGTGTTTTGAAAAATTTAGTAACCTCTTAATAAAGTTATCCAGTATCATGATGGAAAGTGTGGCATAACTATGTATACTATCAAATATTAAAAATATGAGAATATTCTGAAAAAAATTTTGTCAATAAATTGTACAACTTAAAAAAAAAAAACTCATCCCCTATAAATACCAAAATGGCTTAAAAGATAGAAAAAATATAAGAAATTAAAAAAACTCAGCCCTGAAGTGAATGTTTTTTGTGAATTGTGAAGTACTTATGCTGCAGCTCTGTTGCACTCTGTCTGGCTCCCATCTGAACTGTCTACATTGTTCAGATAGCATCACTTTTTTATTAAAATATTTTATTGAAGATTTATTCAGTTAGTTAATTCAAAGGCAGAATGACAGAGAGAGGGAGAAACAGTGGGAGAGATCTTCCATCTGCGGGTTCACTCCCCAAGTGCCTTCAACAGATGGGGCTGGGCCGGACTGAAGCCTGGAACCCAACAACTCCATCCAGGTTTCTCACAAGAGTGTTGGGACTCAAGTGCATGGGCCATCATCTTTTGCCTCCCAGGCTTATTAATAGGAAGCTGAATTGGAAGCTCAGGAGAGAAGTGATCCTAAGAACTCTAATATGGAATGCAGGTGTCCTAGTTGGAGCCTTAGCCCACTGTGCCACAATGCCTGCTCCCAACTGCTGTCCCAGACATCAGGGAGCACTTCTAGTTGTCACTTACTGATATACTACAGTGATTCATACTTGCATGTTTGTCAAATGTTTACTTGAAAATGGGAGAAAGCAAGCCTGAAAAATCAAGGAAAACAACTGAGTTCCTGGTTCCCAAATTCATCATTGACATAAGCATTTGGAGAATGAACTAGCATATGTTAGCTTTCTCTTTTTGTCTTTCCCTCTCTCTCTGCATCTTAAATACTACATTTTTTAAAAGATTTTATTTATTTATTTGAGAGGTAGAGCCTCAGACAGAGGTGGAAAAAGAAAAGGTCTTTTTTTTTTTTTTTTTTTTGAAGATTTATGTATTCATTTGACAGGCAGAGAGAGAGAGAGAGAGAGAGAGGTCTTCCACCTGCGGGTTCACTCCCAAAACAGCTGTAATGGCTGGAACTGGGCTGGTCTGAAGCCAGGAGCTTCTTCTGGGTCTCCCTTGCAGGGGCCCAAGGACTTGGGCCATCTTCTACTGCTTTGCCAAGCCATAGCAGAGAGCTGGGTTGGGAATGGAGCAGCTGAGACTTGAACCGGCACCCAAATGAGATGCTGGCACTGCAGGCAGTGGCTTTACCTGCTACACCACAGCACCATCCCTGAGAGAAATGTCTTCCATCCGCTGGTTCACTCCTCAAATGGCTGCAATGGCCAGTCTGAAGCCAGGAGTTTCTTCCAGGCCTCCCACATGTGTGCAGGGGCCCAAGCAGCTGGACCATCTTCTGATTTCCCAGGCCATACAGAGAGCTGGATTGAAAGAGGAGCAGCTGGGACATGAATGGGAACCCATATGGGGTGCCTGCACCATAGGCAGACACTTAGCCTGCTATGCCACAGAACCCGCCCCCTTTTAAATAAATTTTAAAAATAAATGAGGATACAGAAGTTTATGGAAATGTAGTTAAAAGATATGTTTATCTTGATTTAAAAACTTAGAATTCTATGCATATTAGGGGACTTAAAAAGTTAATTGAGGGGCCAGCATTGTTTTGGGAACAGATTAAGTTTTGAGCACTGATTCTAGTCTTTGGCTGTTCTGCTTTCAATCTAGCTACCTTGCTAATGTGCCTGAGAATGCACACAATCGCCCAAGTACTCCATCTCCTGCCACCCACCTGGGAGACTCGAATAGAGTTCCAGACTCCTGACTTTCCCAAACCCCAACAAGGACATTTGAGGAGTGAATCAGCAAATGGAAGATCTTTGTCACTCTGCCTTTCAAATTAAAAATGAAGTTCATGGAAAGTGTGAATAAGGAAAAAAATTGTATTATTCTAACATTGCTTTGTACCAAAATTAATTTATTTCAGTTCTTTTCCCCAATTTTTTGAATTCTCCCTTGTTTGTGCACATACATGACTTTTATGAATTTAGTGCCGACCTCATTGCCTTAACCTAATTTTGCCAATAAAATTTCATGTTTATTAGCTGTGAATCCAGCAAACCTTGGTGGGGAGGTGGAATTCAGGAATATTTTTTTAAAGCTCTATTTATTTGAAAGGCAGCATCATAGAGAAGCAGAGAGAGAGGTCTTCCAGCACTGGTTCACTCCCCAAATAGCTGCAATGGCTGCAGCTGGGCCAGTCAGGAGCCAGGAGCCAGGGGCTTCTTCCAGGTCTCCCACAAGGTAGGGGCCCAGGAACTTGAACCGTTCTCCACTGCCCTCCCAGGCCATAGCAGAGAGCTGGATCGAAGCAGCTGGGACTCGAACTGGTGCACATATGGGATGCCAGTGCTGCAGGCATTGGCTTCATCCACTACGCCACAGTGTTGGTCCTGAGTTCAGGAATATTAGCGAGAGGATGAATAGTCATAGAAAAGTCTTCCTGGATATCTAATTGAAATACCAAACCTTTTTCTAGGGAGATAAATAATTGGTTTGGAGCTAAGCAAAGGCTTTTTTTTTTTTTTTTTGGTTTGTTTTTTTGCTGAGTCCTTATGTGCAACCTATGGTCTGAATGCCAGGTGTTTTTGATTCCCATAGGCGGCAGCCTTTTGTGTTGTGATTCTTGCCCTGCTGCTTTTCATCGTGAATGCCTGAACATTGATATCCCTGAAGGAAACTGGTACTGCAATGACTGCAAGGCAGGAAAAAAGCCACACTACAGGGAGATTGTTTGGGTAAAAGTTGGACGATATAGGTGAGTAAGTCTGAAGGAGAATGCTGCTGGTTTCTTTTGCCATGTTGTATTTCTTGAATCTCAGATACACTGCTTGTTTTTCTTTTTGGTAATGCTCTTCCTGAGTAGACATGGTGCTACCACCACCCAGGTTTTTCCTCATAAGAAACAGTCTTAACTTTAAAATTTGCAATGACATGATAATACTCATGTATGTACTTTGTAGAAAATTGTTAGTGAAAAGAAACCCATATTCTTTTCACAAACAAGGAAGGTATAGGTGCATTGTTAATATTTTGGAATTCTTCCTTGCAGACATGCCAGTATACAGCTGCCATATCCTCAGTAGTTATCCTTAGAGTTTATGCCCAATTTTGGCTTTTTAAAATTGCTTTTATAGAGCATGGCCTGCCAAAATAATTTAACATGCATGATTGTCTAAGAGCTCTAGTTTACTCTTCCACAATGCTCATTTTGTCAAGATTTCATGATTTACTGCAAGGAGCTTGATCCGGGCAGTCTTTGGAATAAAATAGGTGGGATTTCCAGCTCTAATAGCTAGTGCTGAATTGTCTTCCTAACAGATTAGATCCCTTGAAGTGGAGTCTTAAGTGTGTGGCAGAGTATGTGAGAGCAAGCAGTGATTTTTCACACTGATGGTACATGCTCTGTGCTCTAGTTAATTATAATAAGGCCCAGGATTGGGCTTTCATGAGGACAGACAGACATTCCGATTCCTCACTGTTATTCTGTTATTTTCCTAGTGCCTTGGAGCCTCCTAGGGCTTTCCTCACTTGTTTTTCCCTTTCCCAGGTGGTGGCCAGCAGAGATCTGCCATCCTCGAGCGGTTCCTTCCAACATTGATAAGATGAGACACGATGTGGGCGAGTTCCCTGTCCTCTTCTTTGGGTCTAATGACTATCTGTGGACCCATCAGGCCCGAGTCTTCCCATACATGGAAGGGGACGTGAGCAGCAAGGACAAGATGGGCAAAGGCGTGGATGGGACTTATAAAAAAGGTAGCTTGACCTGTTCTTTTCTCAGACTAGTTCCTTTAATTGCCGAAAATCTGTTCTGTTAAAAGTCACACAGGCAGGGGCCAACCTCCCATATGGACACTGGTTCACATCCCAGCTGCTCTACTTATGATCCAGCTCCCTGCTCGTGGCCTGGGAAAAGTAGTTGACAATGGCCCAAGTGCTTGGGCTCCTCCTACCTACAGACTTGGAGGAAGCACCTGGATCCTGGCTTCAGCCAGTCAAAGCCTTAGCTTTTAAATCCTTCTGGGGAGTGAATGAGCAGATGGAAGATCTCTCTTTCTCAGTTTCTCCCTCTGTCTCTGAATTTATTCAAATAAATTAATCTTTTTTTGTTTGTTTTAGACAGGCAGAGTTAGAGACAGAGAGAAAGGTCTTCCTTTCCGTTGGTTCACCCCCTCATGGCCGCTGCGCCCGGCACACTGCTGCCGTTCTGAAGCCAGGAGCCAGGTGCCTCCTCCCGGCCTCCCATGCAGGTGCAGGACCCAAGCACTTGGGCCATCCTCCACTGCCCTCCCAGGCCAGAGCTGGACTAGAAGAGGAGCAACTGGGACTAGAACCTGCAGTGCCAGCGCCACAGGCGGAGGTTTAGCGTTTTGAGTCTAATCGTTACTTAATTCTGTTTTTCGTGAGGGGAATGTTTTTATTGTTTATTTTGTCTTTATTTATTTATTTTTTCAGTCTTGTTGTGGAAAGAAGCTCTGGAACTAGTCTATAGAACACACACTGTAGTTTGCCTGAGAATAGCTCAAAACTTTAGCCAAGCCATGTTTCCTTCAAGGAAATTTTGGTTTTAGTTTTGGTTTCTTTTTCAACTTGTTGGGAAGAGGTAAAAATTCACCCAAAATTATAGAAAAAAGTAGTCGATGTCAAAACCTGAATGTCCTGAAATAATAAAAAACTTCTATGAACTGACCTGGCAGTAAAGGCAGTGGGGACAATGGAGGCCAGAAAAAGGGTTCCCTTAGTATTAGCATCTAACCACTTAGCTGATGGTTAAGACGCCACTGAGCCTCGGTTTTTCTTAATTATTCAGTGGAGAAATGTTGCTCTGAGAATCAGTTAGAAAAGTAACTGATTCCTCTAGCTGCCCTTTGAATGGCAACATATCTTTTGCCATTTGAATATGCTTAGACATTACAGTATGATTTTTTTTTTCTGCAGTGTAAGTTGAAAAGCTGTTCTTGGTAGGTAGGTGAAACTTCTTGTGTAGGGAATGTCTGTAGGATACACATTTATCACAGGCTCTGCTTTGCCTCAGGCTGTAAGTCTGAGTCTGACGAAGCGCTGGGATTCTGCTATTTCTGTGCCTCAGCTCAGGGCTGGCTGGTGCCACTGCCTTCTGGGTCATGGAAGACTCTGACCTAAATAGCAGCATTCAGATGCTGCTTGTTGAGAGTTGTGGCCGAAGTGTGCATTGTGCGCCATTGGAGCAGATGCTGAGGAAGAAAGGCCAAGCTGAGGAGTCACTGCTTGGAAGCTGTGGTTTGTTTGAAAGTATCCTGAGTGATACTTTGCATAATGAACCATAATAATAATTACAGTTACTGTTTATCAGTGTTTGTTTTCTGGATTGTGTCCTGACAACCCTATGAGGTAGATGACACCCTGATCTTGGAGATGAGAAAAGTCAATTACTTGCCCAGCGTCCAAGTGTCAACAGGAGATAAAGCACAATTTCTCATTCTGATAATTAGACCCAGAATCCAAACTCTTTGAGTGGGAAGGTACTTAAAACATTGAATTAAGAAGACAGCCTATGTGAAAGTATATGTGAACTCTAACATGCTGAGTTACCAATCTCTAGGTAGGTGGGGTAGCATAGGGGCTGCTTTCCTGAACAGATCCATAAGTTACAGGATTCAATCAGAGTTTCAGAAACTGTGGACTGTTGGTGGAGTGTTGGGACCCTAAAAAGATGTAAGAGGTGACAGCTGGAAAGATTAGTTATCTATATAAAGTAATTTTGAGCAGAGAAGATGAGACTGTAACAGAATGGTTTCCAAGAATAGAGTGAGTGATAGATACTTGGTAGACATTAAGGCGAAAGACTAGGTAGAGTGTACTGGGTGACTGGACGGGAAAGGTTGTGTTTTAGGGCAATCTTTAGGACCCTGAATAATACACATACACTCTCTAGTAGTTAACAAGGAAACAGAAAAAAGGGGAGCCTCAGGGGAATGTTTCTTTAAAGAATTGACAGAACATGGGGAAAGCCACAGAGGGAAAAGTTTCTTTAGCCTAGGTGAACAGTTACGGGTTAAAATTTTTAAAACTTATTTTTTAACTTATTTGAAAGAGACACAGAGTGACATAAATTTCATACAAGGGTTCAATCCCCCAAATACCCTCAACAGCCAGGGGTGGGCCAAATTATAGCCAGGAGCCAGGAATTCTTATCTGTGTCTACCACATGGGTAGCAGGGGTCCATCTATATGAGCCATCACCTGCTTTCCTCCTAGGGTACACATTAGCAAGAATCTTGAATCAGGAGCCAGAGCCAGAACTCAAACCCAGACACTCTGATGGGGATGCAGGCATCCCAAACAGCATCTTAACTGCTATACCAAATATATGACTCCAGAAGAATTAGGTCTTCAGATTTTGTTGGATTTATTTTAGATATAAGTATTTTTCCACTATTAATAGCTAATAGTTACTTTTTACAGAATGAATATTAGGAGGAGAGTACAAGAACAATAGAGAATAGTCAGGAAGCAGAGGAAATCTGAAACCTAAAATCCTTTCTAAAGGAGAGTGAGCACATTACCTAGGGCAGTAGGTAGAATGTTCCTGGAAGCAGGAATTAAATGACTTCATTGATCAGATAAAGTTTATTTGTTGGGAGATGGTATCCTAGGCTTTCCCAAGTCATTGAACTTCTTGTTGTTGTTGTTGTTTTTCTCTGAAGGCAATATAGTCTGTTTTGTACCATTTAGCTGTGGATTCTTTGTTTTACTGCTATGTGTAAATACCCCAGGCACTATACAAAGGTACTTGAAAAAGTTAAAATATGGCCCAGCGCCATGGCTCACTTGTTTAATCCTTTGCCTGTGGCGCCGGCATCCCATATGGGCGCTGGGTTCTAGTCCCAGTTGCTCCTCTTCCAGTCCAGCTCTCTGCTGTGGCCCAGGAGGGCAATGGAGGATGGCCCAGGTGCTTAGGCCCCTGTGCCCTCATGGGAGGCCGGGAGGAGGCATCTCGCTCCTGGCTTCAGATCAGCGCGGCGCACCGGCTGTGGTAGCCATTCCAACGGAAGGGAGAACCTTTCTCTCTGTCTGTCTGTCTCTCTGTCTGTAACTCTACCTGTCAAATAAATAAATAAATAAATAAATAAATAAAAATCTTTTTTTTAAAAAAAGTGAAAATAATTAAAATTTACTTTGGTGCAAAAAAATTTTGAGATCCATACATAGATTTTTTTCTAAGATATATTTTTATTTCGTTGAAACTCAGAGTTAAAAAGAGGGAAAGACAGAGAGAGATCTTCTATCTGCTGGTTTACTCCTCAAATGGCCGCAACAGCCAGGGCTTAGCCAGGCTTGAAGTCAGGAACCAGGTGCTGCTTCCAGGTCTCCCTGGTCAGGGCAGAGGCCCAAGCACTAGGGCCATCTTCTGCTGCTTTCTCAGGCATATTAGCAGGGAGCTGTATAGGATGTGGAGCAGCTGGGACTTGAACCGGTACCCCATGAGATGCAGGCTTTGCAGGCTGCAGCTTAACCTGTTACTCCACAGTCCCAGCCCCTAACCTTCTCTTTTAATTTCATTTTCCAAACATATTATGAAGTACCCTCATATAGCCTACTTGAAAATATATATTCTTAGTTTTTTTTACGGTGTGTTTGGTATTTGTCCAAAAGATGGATTTTCTCCAATTTTTAGGGGACTAAAAAAAGTAAACAACTGTACCCAGAAAAATTTAAGTGACTTGTTCTGTGTATTTTCATAGCTCTTCAAGAAGCTGCAGCAAGATTTGAGGAATTAAAGGCCCAGAAGGAGCTAAGACAACTGCAAGAAGACCGAAAGAATGACAAGAAACCACCACCTTATAAACATATAAAGGTGAGGAAAAACTCATCTGACACCCTTTCCAGGAAAGAAACCATATGTAACTTGCTTCTTCTTGCTGTGCTCATGACGAGAATGGAAATCACAAGTACAATTATTTTTAGGCACCGTTTTGAGCATCCTGCATGCACTTTAAAAAATCAACTTCAGGGACCAGTGTTGTGGCATAACGGGTAAAACTGCTGCCTGCACTACTGATACCCCATATGCGTGCTGGTTTGAGTCTCAGCTGCTTCACTTCTAATCCAGCTCTCTGCTACGGCCCCGGGAAAGCAGTGGAATTTGGCCCAGGTCCTTGGGCATCCACATGGGAGACCCAGAAGAAGCTCTTGGCTTCACGTCAGCCCAGCTCTGGCTGTCGTGGCCATTTGGGGAGTGAACCAGAGGGTAGAGGTCTCTGTCTCTTTCTGTCTCTGTCTCTTGTAACTCTGCCTTTCAAATAAATAAATAAATAAGCCTTTAAAAATCAACTATCTGTTGATGTGGGTATTTTTCTTTTTTTTTAATAAGTACTTATTTAATTTATTTATTTGAAGGAGTTAGGAAAGGTAAAGACAGAAATATTCCATCTGCTGGTTCTCTCTCCAGATGACCACAGTAACCAGGACTGGGCCAGGCTGAAGCTAGGGGCTCATCTGGTTCTCCCACATGGGTTGCAGGGGTCCAAACATTTGTACCATCTAACCATCCTTTCCCTGGCCATTAGCAGGGAGCTGGATCAGAAGGTGAGCAGCTCAGACACCAAGCAGCATGCATTATGGGATGGTGGCATCACAGACAGTGACTTTATCTTTTATTGCACTGTACTGGCTCCAATGTGGGTATTTTTCCTGCTGCCTTGCAATAGTCTTCTCATCTAAGGAAGATTAAATTCTATTCATAGTCAGCATCTTTGATTTGAAAAGAATGAAAGCCATGCTGAAAATGATAAATGGCCATGACATAGTGTGAATCACATGTATGACAAATATTTTGGTAATGGCTGATGCTGATGATAGTTTAGGTGACCAGTGTGAATAGGGCAGAAAATTTGATCTCTGTCTACCTGGTAAAATAGTCGACGCTGTATCATCTAGGTCCAGTGCACCATTTGTGCCTTTTAATGTTTTAATATGATTTATATAATACAGAAGTAAAAATAAAGGCATAGTAAAGAACAAATTTGTTAGAAATTTTAGTATTTACTAAAACCTCTTTTTTACAAGTAAGTTGGTTTTGATGTGCAAACATCAAAAAACAAGAAGTAATACTGTTAGCCTTATTAACAAAATGAGGCTTCCCAGAGCCTTGTTGACATTTCTGAGAATGGCATTCTGAAATTTTACTTGAAGATCAGTTTCACCACGTCTTCTGAGATGGTGTGAAAGTGTGATTTGTTTAAGTGATTTGTTTAAGGTATTGCAATGGGCATAATTAAAGTAAAAAACTATTTGTTGTTTATGTAAAATTTAAATTTTAATGGATATCCTAGATTTTCATTTGCTCTGTCTGGCAAACTAATATAAACATGATCTCTCTGGTCTTTTATTCTGTCTTCAAAAAGTAAAGTCTGAGTTTTTATTTTACTGTGTTCTCATGCCTATTACTATGCCTATTATTCCTTTTTCTCACTTTCAGTCTTTTTTACATTGTTTGGAATAATTGATGAATAATGATGAAAGAGTAAAATTGTAATACATACTAAAGATAAGAAGACTGTATCTTAGATTTGTAAAATGGACTAATGGATCAGAAAACTAGTTACAAAATAGAATTAATTTTATTTTTTTTTTCTTTTAAAGATTTAATTATTTGAAAGGCAGAGTTACAGAGTAGGAGAGACAGAGAGAGAGAGATCTTCTATCCGTTGGTTCACTCCCGAATTGGTTCACTCCTCAAATGGATTTAACAGCCAGGGCTAGGCCAGGCCAAAGCCTGTATCTTCTTCCAGGTCTTCCACATAGTGGCAGGGGCCCAAACACTTGGGCCATCTTCCACTGCTTTCCCACTCATTAATAGGGAGCTGGATTTGAAGTGCAGCAGTACTTGTACCAGCGCCCATATAGGATGCTGGCTCTGCATGTGGTTGGCTTAACCAGGTATTCCACAGCCTCTGCCTCTAGTTGTGTTCTTTTTAAATAAATAAATTTTTTTATTGTCATAAAATATCAGCCCTCGCAAATAATTATAATTACTTAAATAAATGTAAAACATTTAACTGGGTCTAATTGGACCCTGGTAATATAAGGAGAATTAAATAGACTTACTGTATTTGGAGATATAATACCAATATGTAGTTAGATCTCAGTAAAAGGGAAGTGGGGCCACAAATTTGGGTTGCATCCCACATCACAGTGCCTGGGCTTGATTCCCAGCTCCAGATCCTGATTCTAGCTGCCTGGGAAGCAGTAGTTGATAGCTCAGTTAGTTGGGTCTATGGAAGACCTGGATTGCATTTCTGGTTCCTGGCTTCAGCTCTGGCATTGCAGGCATTTGGGGGAACAAACCAACAGCTGGGAGCTTTCTCTCTCTTTGAGGTAAATAAATAAGTTGTGTTTTTTTTTTTTTTTTTTTTTAATTAGGTGGAAAAAGGTAAAGTAATCCTGTTAACACAAGCCTAGGGTTCAGATAATAACAAGGTAGATATTTCAGAGGTGTACCTCAACAACCAATTCTATTTTAAGATTTATTTGAAAGGCAGAGCTAGAGAAAGAAGGGGAGACTGAGATCTTCCGTTCCCCAAATAGCCACAAAGGCAGTTCTGGGCCAGGGTGAAACCAGAAACCAGGAACTCCATCCATGTCTCCCACATGAATGATAAGGGCCCAATATTTGGTCAGCTTCTGCTGCCTTTCCAGGAGCACTTGCTGGAAGATGGAACTGAAAGCATAGCAGTTGGCACTCAAACTGTCTCACTGATCATGGGTTACCAGTATCGGATACCACCGCTAGTTATAACACAATGCTGATTGCACCACAACCATTTTGAACCTTGCTATTGAGACAGCAACTTCTTGTGACTGATTTCTTCACAGAATTTTAGGAATCAACTTCTTCCCTCTAAATTTTTTTTGTTTTTGAATATATTTCCAAGGAAAAGAAATCATGAACCAAATTTTTTCTATTGTCCACAATGCAATCCCCATGAACTAACTTATTTTAATATTTTTTATTCGTTGGGTAACAATAGTTCATGACATGAGAATTATATGAAATTCAACTTTGATTTCTGTAAATTAAATTTTATTTGAACACAGCTATCCTTGTTTTGTTATGTATTTTCTGTGACTGGTTTTGTGCTACAGTGGCAGAGTAGAGATGCATGCATCACACCTGCCTACGAACGCCAAGGTATTTACTGTGTGGCCCTTACAGAAGAAATTTCTATCCCCCTGATCTAGAGTGAAGTGACATACATGTATGTCTTTGTTGTTAACCATGTGGAGTTATTTTTTTTATTATCCTAAAAGATTGATTTATTTCATTTATTTGAAAGGCAGATTTACAGATAAAGGAGAGACAAAGAGAGAGAGATTCCATCCATTGGTTCACTCCATCCATTGGTTTCAGTGGCCAAGCCAAACCAGGAACCTGGAACTCTATCCAGGTCTCCTGTGTGGGCGGCAGAGATGCAAATATTTATGCCATCTTCTGCTTTTTCCCAGGCCCCTTAGCAGGGAGTTGGATCAGAAGTGGAGCAGCCGAGACGTCACAGGTGGTGGTTTAACCCTTGAGCCAAAATGCCAGCCTCCAGTTTTTTGCTTATGATGTGTTAGGAAAAAACTTATTTGTGATTAATGACAGATTAGGTAATATCTTAAGAATGAATGATTAAAACATATGGAGAGAAAAGGAGTTACAATGAACCTTTTTGGGGGTGGGAAGTCAGGTTAATATTGTTTGGATCATGGGGCCAAAATCGCTGCCTGCAGTGCCAGCATCCCATATGGGCGCAGGTTTGGGCATCAGCTGTTGCACTTCCAGTCCAGCTCTCTGCTACGGCCTGGGAAAGCAGTAGAAGGTGTCCCAGGTTCTTGGGCTCCTGCACTGTCATGGGAGCCCCAGTAGAAGCTCCTGGCTTCAGATGAACACAGTTCTTGCCTTTGTGGACATATGAGGAGTAAACCAGTGGAAGGAAGACCTCTCTCTGTAACTTTGCCTTTCCAATAAATAAATAAATAACAATAAAATTGTTTGGATCAGAAGTGACCTGATAGGTCTTGGGTGAGCAAGTTTTAGCTGCTGACTTCTACTCCCTTAGCATTTGGTTTCCTTAGTAAGTTTGTGACTTGCAGTTGCATGTGGTGAGAGTCCTCCATTTGTAAGATATTTACAACATTTACCAGTATTTTTGAAGAGTAACAGATTGTAGATTTTGTAATGTTAAAGAATAAGAAACAATAGTATGCTAGAACTGAGCATTTGGGACTTTATTGATGAATTTAAGTAATAGTGATTTTACATTGACTGAGTTTCTAGAATATTTGGTATGACAGAAAAAGAAGGGACACAAAATGGAAAAAATATATAGTAGTATCTGCCACATTTAAGAGGCTCTAAGGTTCTGCTGTGTTCTAGGCCTTTACATATATATATATATTTATCTATAACAGTTTGGCAAGTAAAATGCTTCTTCAAATACGGGAACCCAGACTATCCAGAAGTTTTCATTCCAACAGTTTCCTATCTATCAGTAGTGGATATTGTTATGCAGTAGTTACAATGGTGCCACCATGTGACACTAGCAAAACCCTAGTATACAATTAACTTGGCCTACTGTCTTTGAAATTAATCATTTTTAAAACATGAGTTTTCAAAAATGTGAAATTCATATTTTATATATCAAATGTGTGTCTATTTTTATGTTAAGGTGTCTAAATCTTTTTTTGAAAAAAAGTTTTAACTATTTTTTGAAAGAGATAGATAGATCTTCCATCCACAGGTTCATTTCCAAAATGGCTGTAATGATCAGGGCTAAGCCAGGATCCAGGAATGTCATCTGGATCCATCTGTCCAAGTCTCCTACTTGGGCCATCTTTTGCTGCTTTCCCAGGTGCATTAATAGGTAGCTGGATAAGAAGTGGAGTTGCTAGGAAGACTTACTATTTTATTTGAAAGACCGTTACAGAGAGAGATATTTGATCTGCTTGTTCACTCCCTAAATGGCCCGCAACGGCGGGGCCAGAGCTGAGCCAGTCCAATGCCAGGAGGCAGGAGCTTCCTCCAAGTCTCCCATGCGGGTGCAGGGGTCCAAGGATTTGGGCCATCCTCCACTGCTTTCCCCGGCGTATTAGCAGGGAGCTGGATTGCAAGTGGAATAGCCTGGACTCGAACCGGCACTCATATGGTACTGCAGGCTGGGGCTTTAACCTATTGCACTATGGCATCTTCCCTCAAAATCCCAAATTTTGAAAGCTCAAAATCATATAAAAGGTGGCATGCAACTTTAAGTAAAATAAACCTGTCCTTTATGGGTCCGGAGTTGTTTTCTTGTTTTGACTTATCTGATAATGATATACTATGTGTTTTTTTCTCCAGGTGAACCGTCCTATAGGCAGGGTACAGATCTTCACTGCAGACTTATCTGAAATTCCCCGTTGCAACTGTAAAGCTACAGACGAGAACCCTTGTGGCATAGACTCTGAGTGCATCAACCGCATGCTGCTGTATGAGTGCCACCCCACAGTGTGTCCTGCTGGCGGGCGCTGCCAAAACCAGTGCTTCACCAAGCGCCAGTATCCAGAGGTTGAAATTTTCCGCACCTTACAGAGGGGTTGGGGTCTGCGGACAAAAACAGATATTAAGAAGGTGAAGAAAACTTTGAATTACCAGGTTTTTTTTTTCTTCTTTGCAGTTTCTTGATATGATTTGGTGACTGTAAGAAAATTCCTCACAAAATAAAATAGCATTGTTAGGAATTATCCTTTTGTTGTGTCTTACATATCTTTTCAGAATCCAGAGGATTGGGATGGATGTTCCCTTTCATCTCTAACATCAGTTTTGATTGTGTTCATTGTATAAAAGGATGCAAGAGAGGGAAATTATAATGACGATGTTATGACTTCAGGTAGTTGAGAGAGAGGGAGGAGTGAGTACGTGATACAGGTGGTGTTAATCACCTGTTCAATAAAATGAGATATTTTCAATGGAGAAAAAAGTTTTGGGTTTATGGAGCATGAAGTAATAGAGTTAAGCCTTCTCTAATGAAAATGCAGTAACATCTTCAACTTGCTGCTTGGCAGAATCTGTATATTTCTAACAATAGGTAATATTATACAGCCTATACAAAATAAATCTTGCTTGACATGTTAATAAAACAATCATCACTCATGTGGAAGCATAAAGGCCTCTGGTGGCATGTGCCAAAGGAACTGAGAGTAGATGGCTACAGCAAGGTGAGCACGAACACCTTGCAGGTAAGGGGATAGTAGGCGTGAAAGTCTGTGTGACCCCAGAATGAAGATTAGGGAAGACCAGGGTATGAAATGTGGAGGAGCCCTAGTCAATGCAAGTCCCATGGAGAATGACCACTGTTTAGGGAAACTGATTTTGAGATCCTTGGGTAAGTTAAGAAATTGACCTTCCATACCTCCATTATAAGGAAGCTAAACTTAAACTAATCTTTTATTTTTATTTATTTATTTATTTTTATTTATTTTTTTTTTTGAAGATTTACTTATTTATTTGAAAGGTAGAGTTACAGAGAGAGGTCTTTCATCTGCTGGCTCACTCCCTAGATGGCCACAACAGGTGGAGCTGGGCCCATCCAAAGCCAGGAGGTCCCTCCAGGTCTCCTATGCAGATGCAGGGGCCCAAGGACTTGGGCCATCCTCCATTGCTTTCCCCGGCCATAGCAGAGAGCTCGATTGGAAGTGGAGCATCCACTCGAACTGGTGCCAGTATGGGATGTCAGCACCACAGGCAGAGGCTTAGCCTACTACGCCACAGCATCAGCCCCGATTCTTGTGGATCTTTGCTATCCAGTATATCGTAACTTTTCTTCTGGAGGGAGTGGGAGCGTGATTCTTATCAAATGCTTGAGGTCTCATAAAGAAATTATTAATTAATTACGTGCACATAAGATTGTATGCATATAGTCTGCTTTGGAAAAGCTAATAATTTTTAGAAGTAAAGTGCATGTATGAATACTGATGTACTTTTTGCCACTAACTCAGGAGCTGTCTTTTCTTCTAGGGTGAATTTGTGAATGAATATGTAGGTGAGCTAATAGACGAAGAAGAATGCAGAGCTCGAATCCGTTATGCCCAGGAACATGATATCACCAATTTCTATATGCTAACACTAGACAAAGTAAGTATTAAAGAGTGTTGTTTGGCCGGCGCCGCGGCTCAACAGGCTAATCCTCCGCCTTGCGGTGCCGGCACACCGGGTTCTAGTCCCGGTCCGGGCGCTGGATTCTGTCCCGGTTGCCCCTCTTCCGGGCCAGCTCTCTGCTATGGCCCAGGAGTGCAGTGGAGGATGGCCCAAGTGCTTGGGCCCTGCACCCCGTGGGAGACCAGGAGAAGCACCTGGCTCCTGCCTTCAGATCAGTGCAGTATGCTGGCCGCAGCGGCCATTGGAGAGTGAACCAACGGCAAAGGAAGACCTTTCTCTCTGTCTCTCTCTCTCTCACTGTCCACTCTGTCCAAAAAAAAAAAAAATGCTTTGTGGGGGGTCAAGTAAATTCATAGTAGAACTCAAGTAATTTTCCAATTGTTTTTGGAAGTTATTCTTAATTTCAGTGTTTAGCATTTTTATTTTCTGTGTATCTGTGATTCTTCTTCCTGGGGGTTAGGGTCTAGCTTTTTTCCCCATCCACTACCTTTTATGATAGAACCTTTTTATTTTTTCTTTAAGATTTATTGATTTATTTGAAAGGTATCGTTATAGAGAAGGAGAGGGTTAGGCAGAGAGAAAAAGAAGAGAGATTTTCCATCTGCTGTTTTACTCCCCAAATGGTCGCAACACCCTTGGTTGGGCCAGACCAAGGCCAGGAACCAGGAGCTTCATTCGGGTCTCCCATATGTATGGATACAGGGGCCAAAGAGATGGATCAGAAGTGGGTCTCAAATGGGCACCCATATGGGATGCCGGCACTGCAGGTGGTAGCTTTTACTCACTGTGCCCCAGGCTGGCACTGTCAGAACCCTTTCTGCCTTTTTTACTTTCAAACATTCCTCAAGTTGTACATTTAGTGATTTGTGAGATCCTTAACCTCTAGATACTTTTTGTTTGGGTTGGAGACTTCACATCTGTTTTGAAATCTACTCAGGCAATTTCAGATGTGTAGAGTTTGAAAACTAAAGATGGGACACAGTTCTGCTTCTAGTTCAGTGGTCCTCAAGCTTCAGCAAATATCAGAATGGCCTGGGATTTTGTCATACATCGTTGTGCCCACCTCAGGTTCTGTGTTTGATATACAACCCCAAAAAATGCATTTCTGAAAATCTAGGTGGTGATAGTGCTGCTGGTCCAGGGGCTGTACTTTGAGAACCACTGTTCTGGGGAACTCAAACTTTACAAATAAAGGAATGAGCATTTGATGCAGTGGTTAAGCTGTTGCTTGGGTTACCCGTATGCTATAGCTGTGACCTAGGTGCAAACCCTGACTTTACTCTGCATTCTAGTTTCCTGCTAATGTACACCCTGGTTGGCAGCAAGTGATGGCTCAAGTAGTTGAATCCCTGCCACCCATGTGGGAGATGTGATGGAGTTCCTGACTCTTTTGTTTGTTTGTTTGTTTTCTTTTTTAAAGATTTGTTTATTTTTTTGAAAGAGTTACAGAGAGACATCTTCTACTTGCTGGTTCTCTCCCCAAATGGCTATATGATGGCCAGGGCTGAGTCAGACAGACCAGGAGACAGGAGCTTCTTCCAGGTCTCCCACATGTGTGTAGGGGCCCAAGAACTGGGATTGTCTACTGCTGCTTTCCCAGGTACATTAACAGGGAGCTGGATTGGAAGTGGAGCAGCCAGAACTTGAACCAGAGTCCATATGGAATGCTGGTGCTGCAGGCATTGGCTTTACCCAAAGTGCCGGCACCCAGTCCTGGGTCTTGAGAGCTTATGGAGTGAACCAGGGAATGGGGCATCTCTTCCTCTCTCTACCTACCTCATCATTTATATAACAAATAAATAATAAACTTTATAAATAGAAACTAGCTTATTAGAGAGAATAGTGTAGATCAAAAGCAGAGATCTCAAGAGTACAACTTCTCTTGGAATTCTAGGACCGAATCATTGATGCTGGTCCCAAAGGAAATTATGCTCGGTTCATGAATCATTGCTGTCAGCCCAACTGTGAAACCCAGAAGTGGTCTGTGAATGGAGATACCCGCGTTGGCCTTTTTGCCCTGAGTGACATTAAAGCAGGTAAGAATCATTTTAGGTATTCTAGAGCTACGACCTGAATTTCAGGTCGTATCATCTAAAAGTTCCATATGCCTGTTGTCCAGAGTGAAGTTTCCAAAGTTCTGAGAACAGGCAGAGGGTTTGGTGCACCTCCCTTGTGATGCTCACATCCTATATTAGATTATCTGGGTTTAAGTCATAGTCTGGTTTTCTAATATGCCCACCCTGAGAGTCTACACATGATGGCTCAAGAAACTGGGTCCCTGCAACCCAGATTGGAGACCTGGATTCCATTCCGCATCAACAGATGAATGGTCTGTGTATGCTCCCTCCCCACAAGCCCCATGGTATGTGTGTGTTTGAGATAGAGAACGAGAAGATAATCTTTCCCCTTTTTGTGTGCATGGTTCTGTGACATTAAGTCTGTTCACACTGTTGCATGGTCATCACCATCATCCATCTTCAGGACTCTTTTTCATCTTCCCCAACTGAAGCTCTGGCCCGATTTTCAACCCTCTCTCCATAGCCCTGAGCAGCCACCATTCTATGTACGTCTCTGAATTTTGACTACTTTAGAAGAGTCATATAAATAGGATTGTGCTGTTCTCCTTTTGTGACTGTATCATTTCACATATCATAAATTGCCAGCCTTCTGTGTCTCCTCTCACCTGCCCTTCCACAGTTGCCCTACCTCCACTGTATAAACCAGAGATTCAGCTCTTGCCACCCATATCTTTCAGGGCTTGGCCCAAAGGCTGGTTTAAGAAACTAACAGGCCGGCGCCGAAGCTCACTAGGCTAATCCTCCACCTGCGGCGCCGGCACCCCGGGTTCTAGTCTCAGTTAGGGCAGCGGATTCTGTCCCGGTGGCTCCTCTGTTAATATGCCTGCAAGAGCAGTCAAAAATAGCCCAGGTAGTTGGGGCCGCCGACATCCACATGGAAGACCTGGGTAGACTTCCAGGATCATGACTTTGGCTTCGCCCAGTGCTGGCTGTTGTAGTCATTTGGATCTCTGTTTCCTTCTCTCTGTCTTTAACTCTGCCTTTCAAGTAAATAAGTAAAATCTTCGTTTTCTTTTTTTTTTTTTTTTAAAGGAGAGAGAAAGGAAAGAAAGAAAATCTGATATAGCTAAGTGATAATGAAGTCACATGATGGATATTTTTCATAAATTAAATCATTTTAAGAATGGACATGACACCCTCCAGTTTGCACCATTTTTTAAAGTATTTATTTGTTATTTGTTTTGAAAAAGTTATATAAAGAGCAGTGGAGACCGAAAGATCTTCTATTTCTCGTTCACTCCCCAGATAGCTAAAACAGCCAGGTAGGGCCAGGCCAAAGCCAGGACCCCAGGAGCTTCTTCCAGGTCTCCCATGTGGGTGCTGGGGCCCAAGTTCTTGGACCATGCTTTGCTGCTTTATTCAGGCATTGGCAGGGAACTGAATCAGAAGTGGAACAGCCAGGACATGAATCAACGCCCAAATGGGCCTGATTTTTAAAACATTTTAAAAGTGTGGGCCGGTGCCGTTGCTCACTTGGCTAATCCTCCACCTGCGGCCCTGGCATCCTATATATGTACCGTGCTCTAGTCCCGGTTGCTCCTCTTCCAGTCCAGCTCTCTGCTGTGGCCCCGGAGGGCAGTGGAGGATGGCCCAAGTGCTTGGACCCCTGCACCCGCATGGGAGACCCAGAAGAAGGACCTGGCTCCTGGCTTCAGATCGGCACTGTTGTGGCCATAGCGGCCATTTGGGTTGTTCTCTCTCTCTCTCTCTCTCTCTCTCATTGTGTATTTCTGTCCATCCAAAAAAAAAATAAGTATGTAAAATTTTGGATTTTGAAAAAGTTGCATGAGTTTTCAAAATGTGTATTCTAGAGACATTAGTTAAAGAGTTGAAAATCATTTTCAAACACTAACCTCAGTACTTATAAGTTATAATAGTATAGTCTACTATTAAAAGCAGAAATCCCATTTGAACATTCTGGAATAAGATTTAAGTCAACCTCAGAGATACTAATGAACTTAAAGTAATTAGAAAACGTTTTCACTAGCTCTTGTTTTCTGTGTGTGTTTAATTGGTGGGGCATTCATTCTACTTCCAGCTCCATCCTCTCCCCTATTATTTGAATGGCAGAGTTACAGAGAGGATGAGGGGAGAGAGAAAGAGAGACAGAGGGAGGGAGGGAGGGAGGGGGGGGGGGCTCTCTACCCACATGGCCACAACAGCCAGAACTGAGCCAATCTGAAGCTTCGTCTGGGTCTCCCACGTGGGTGCAGGTGTCCAAGCACTTGGACCCTCTTCTGTTGCTTTCCCAAGCCACAAGCAGAGAGCTGGATCTGTAGAGGAGCAGGCGGGACTTAAACATGCACCCACATGGATTCCAGCACTGCAGGCAGCAGCTTAACTCACTGTGCCACAGCACTAGGCCTTAAATTTTTGTTTTTCTATTTAGAAAGAGAACCTTAGGGCCAGCGCCAGGTTCTAGTCCCGATTGCTCCTTTTCCAGTCCAGCTCTGCTGTGGCCTGGGAAGGCAGTGGAGGATGGCCCAAGTGCTTGGGCCCTGCACCCACATGGGAGACCAGGAGGAAGCACCTGGCTCCTGGCTTTGGATCTGTGTGGTACGCCGGCTGCAGTGGCCATTGGGGGGTAAACCAACAGAAGGAAGATCTTTCTCTCTGTCTCTCTCTCTCTCACTGTCCAACTCTGCCTGTCAAATTAAAAAAAGAAAAAAGACTTCACATTCCTTCAAAAGATAAAAAAAAAAAAAAAAGCATCTGTATTTAGAGAGAGAGCCCCCATCTACTGGTTCAGTCTCCACATGCCTGTAATGGCTGGGGAGCTAGGAACCGAATTAGTTGAAAAATGACTGCTTCCTCCCAGGATCTTCCTTGGCAGGAAGCGGGCGTCAGGAGCTGCAGCTGGTTATTGGACTCAGGCACTCCAGTGAGGGATCTGGGTGTCTTAACTGCTAGCCTTAACTTAACTGTCTAACCTCTTCCCTTTTCTTTACAATTTGAATATACTACCTGGATTTTCTTTCAGGCTTTTTACAATTTTAAATTTAAAAATTTTCAGATTCAAAAAGCTGAGCCCACCTAGTTCCTTTCTTCTATTTTCTATTTGCTGTTGATTAAGTATTACATGATGCATGTAAAAGCACTTTAATATCACTATCCACTGCACTCTGTTTGACAAAATGATGCTGATTTGAAAATGCTGACTTGTATCAAGTTTTCGGAGTGAATGGCTTCAGGGTAGTTCATGTAGATTTCTCCTTTGTAACAATGATGTTTAAGTAAATCATACCATGTACCAAGCATTATTCTAAGCATATTATCTCATTTAGTCCTTACACAACCACTGTAAAGAAGGTGCTGTTAGCCCTGGGATATTGGTAGTTGTGGATCTGATGCTTCTCTCACTCTTCCCCTTTCCTCTCTAACCACTGCAGTGTGGACTGGTTCCTCTTTATTGATTACTCAAGTGTTACTTAGTCATATGACTTCAGCTCTAACATGCCTGCCGACTGTTTTCAGCATCACACTTCCACTCGGCTCCCTCAGTCTGTATTCCTGTGCTTGGCTTCCTCTGACACATGTAGCCATAGAGTTCTCTTCTTCCCTGTTCACTCAGCACAGGTGACTTGGTGCTGACATTCACATGCCTTGTTCCTGTCCTCATGTGGGTTCTGGTCTCCATGGGTGGGATGGAGAATATTGGACAGAATGTGCTACATATGTGCATGCCTATTGGAATTAAACCCTAAGCAGATGGAGTCAAGACTTCTCATTCAGCTCTTCTGTGCTCGTCACAAACTCGCTGTTTCCCATGTGTGCCATCCTCACTCCTTGTCTGTCCCTTCTGTGATGCTCTTTCCTATTCCAAATAACTGTACCTCTATCAAGGGTTTTTGTATGTTGGACTCTTCTAGAATAGTTTCACTGTTAAATTTATGAGGGCTGATACCTTTTGATGTAATTTTGTCCTTTATGTGATGTCTGCCAGTAAGATGTTCAGCACACAGCAAATTATGCCAGTGTTTCTGATTTCCTATATTTCTGTATAGAGTGGCATTATAGGTACATCTGCAAAAATTCAGTTATACATTAACTCATCTTTTAGCAAGAGAAGAATAGTGTGAGTAGAACCACCCAACATTCAGTGTGGTATGTTCACAGCAAATGTGAGACAGTAGACATGTCCCTTGGCTCTTGCAAGTTCCTTCTAAGTGTGAGTCTTAATGAAACGTTTCTACAATTGATCTTCTAAGTATAAGTCAGCTCCTCTGTAATTTGTTCAACTGATTAAAGAAATAATGGTCTATTTCCAACATTAGATGAAAAACTGTGCGTTAGTCAGTCTGCAGTGGGAAATCTTCCTGAGACTTGGTGGTCTTGCCTGTGTGCAAGTTTTTCTCATCACCTGTAAGCCATTGCCCTACTCAGAGGGAATTTGTAGGCATTCTATCGACTAGGACTTCCCTTATGTGCTTTGAATTTTTTTTTTTTAAGATTTATTTATTTATTTGAAAGTCAGAGTTGCACAGAGAAAGAGAGAGATCTTCCATCCGCTGGTTGTCTCCCCAGTTGGCTGCAATGGCTGAAGTTGAACCAATCTGAAGTCAGGAGCCAGGAGTTTCTTCTGGGTCTCCCATATGGGTGCAGGGGCCCAAGGACTTGGGCCATCTCTACTGCCTTCCTAGGCCATAGCAGAGAGCTGGATTGGAAGTGGAGCTGCCGAAACTCGAACTGTGTCCATATAGGATGCCGGCACCACAGGCAGCAGCTTTACTTGCTATACCACTGTGCCGGCCCCTTGAGTGTTATTTTGAGTTTGAATGTCTTTGTGTTTTATTTCTACTTAAAGTTACAGTGTATAGTAGTACACTTCTTTCATTTTTTTTAAAGATTTATTTTATTTATTTGAAAAGCAAAGTTAAAAAAGGAGAGATCGAGGTCGAGGTCGAGATCAAAAGATCTTCTATCTGCTGGTTTACTCCCTAAATGGCTGAAACAGCCAGGGCTGGGCTAGGCTTGATTTCAGTAGTCCAGGGGCCCATGGACTTGGGCCATCTTTCACTGCCTATCCCGGCTCATTAGTAGGGAGCTGGATCCAAAGTACAGCAGCCAGGGTTCAAATTAGCACCCATATGGAATGCCAGTGCTGTAGGCCGGGGCTTTAATCACTACTCCAGAATGCCAGCCCTGTATACTTTTTTTTAACGTTTACAAATTATTGCTGTGTGCCTTATGTCAGATTCTCTTTTTAAAAAAAACTGAAATTTTTTTTTCCATTTATAAAGTAGGCTACTCAGGGTTCAGATCTCTGAGACAGGTAGAAGCCTAACTTGGATGTGCTGCCAGGTAAGATGTGCTCACCTGGGCACAGACTAACAGATTTCCTTCATGCTCGCATTCCCAGTGCCTGGCACACACATATAGGACAAGTTGTTAATTAATGAACTTTGAATCTAAATGGTTAGAAAACAAATGAAAAACAACTTGAGATAATTTACACTGCTATAGCAAAAGTTATTCTAAAAATTATCTTTGATCTATTTAAATTTTTCTGCTACTATTAAGTTGTATCAGCTGATACATTATTGTTATAGGATTAGAATTCATTAAAATAAGGGATTTAAGTTAATAAATCTTTTTATCTTCTGGTTAAAATATTCATATGGGGGGCGCCGGTGCTGTGGCACAGCAGGTTAAAGCCCTGGCATGAAGCGCCGGCATCCCATATGGGCACCAGTTCTAGTCCTGGCTGCCTCTTCTGATTCAGCTCTCTGCTATGGCCTGGGATAGCAGTAGAAGATGGCCCAAGTCCTTGGGCTCCTGCAACCACATGGGAGACCTGGAAGAAGCTCCTGGCTCCTGGCTTCGGATTGGCACAGCTGGTTATTGCGGCCATCTGGGGAGTGAACCAGCAGGTGGAAGACCTGTCTCTCTCTGTCTCTACCTCTCTCTGTAACACTGTCTTTCAAATAAATAAAATAATTATTTTAAAAAATTATTTTGGAAATTAATATACTTTATCATTAATACAGAAATAATATTTCTAACCCCACAGATATTAATGTTTTCACTGTCTCTAATGCAGGCACTGAGCTTACCTTCAACTATAACCTAGAATGTCTTGGGAATGGAAAAACTGTCTGCAAATGTGGAGCCCCAAACTGCAGTGGCTTCCTGGGTGTAAGGCCAAAGGTAGGACTCTTCCAGATTTTGTCTTGGGAATAACAATGTGCTTCTCTTTCCCTAACAGTTAGGAATGAGTCTTCGTTTTAAGATTTATTTTCATATACATATAGCAGTTCCATCTATTGATCCACTCTCTAAATGCCCCACAGCAGACACAGTGGGCTATGCCAAAGCTGAGAGCCTGGAGTTCCATCTGGATCTCCTAACAGTGGTAAGGTACCATCATCTGCTGCCTCCCCTCTACATTAGCAGGAGTTTGGATCAGAAGCAGAGCACTCTAATGTGGGATGCAGGCCTCCTAAGCAGCAGCTTAACCTGCCACACCACAGTGCCTGCCCCAGAAGAAATAGTGACATTAAGTAGGAATCAGTGGTCCCTGGGAAGGTACTAAGTATTCTAATGATCAGTTTGGTTGGACAAGAGGGGATCTTTGGATATTTTTGAAGATTTTTGATAATCTGACTTTAATTAGTGATTTGCTACATTTCCAGATAAGAAAACTGCAAAACAACCCATACAGTAGGTTACTTCGCACATTTTCATTGGTCTTAGCTGATCTCGCATCTTCTAATATAAGCTACTTAGATTCTTGGTGTATCCATGTGGTTGGTCTGTCTCTCTCTTTTTCTTTCTAAAGATTCCAAAGAATTGAAATTGAATCTAAAATTCTAGATGTAGTATGACACCACAGATAAAAATGGGTCTCATTCTTACCATTATAACAGAATATAAATACCTGTTTTTTGTGGAAAATTTTTTAAAGATTTTATTTATTTATTTGAGAAGCTGAATTATAGAGAGAGGGAGAGACAGAGAAAGATCTTCCATCTGCTGGTTCACTCCCCAGATGGCAGATCTGGAGCCAGGAGCCTCCTCCCTGGTCTCCCATGTGGGTGCAGAGGCCCAAGGACTTGGGCCATCTTCCACTTCTTTCCCAGGCCACAGCAGGGAGCTGGATTAGAAGAAGAGCATATGGGATGCTGGCATCGCAGGCAGTGGCTTTACCCACTACACCACAGCACCAGCCCTTCTTACATAGTCTTTTTAAAAAAATAAAAATATATTAATTTATTTGAAAGGCAGAGACACACACAGAAGTATCTGCCATCTGCTAGGTCACTCCCCTATGTCTGCAATAAAGTCAGAAACTCCTTCCTGGTCTCTCAAGTACTTGAGCCATATTCTGCCTTCCTATGCACATTAGCAAGAAGCTGGGTCAAAAACAGAGTAGCCAAAACTCAAGCCAGCACTCTGATAGGAGGTGTCTGCATTGCAGGCGGTGATTTTTACTCCGCTGTGCACAACGCTTGACTCTTACATGGTCTTAGCTGTTTTTAGTGACTAATTTTTTTATATAATGAATGGACTGTAATACATGCAAAATAGACTACATAGTGACTCCAGTTGGAGGTTTTTTTTGGACAGGCAGAGTGGACAGTGAGAGAGAGAGAGAGAAAGATCTTCCTTTTCTGTTGGTTCACCCCACAATGGCCACTGCGGCCAGCGCACCACGCTGATCCGAAGCCAAGAGCCAGGTGCTTCTCCTGGTCTCCCATGTGGGTGCAGGGCCCAAGCACTTGGGCCATCCTCCACTGCACTCCCTGGCCACAGCAGAGAGCTGGCCTGGAAGAGGGGCACCAGGACAGAATCCAGCACCCCGACCGGGACTAGAACCCGGTGTGCCGGCGCCGCAAGGCGGAGGATTAGCCTATTGAGCCGCGGCGCCGGCCTGGAGATTTATTTTTTTATTTTTTGACAGGCAGAGTGGACAGTGAGAGAGAGAGACAGAGAGAAAGGTCTTCCTTTGCCGTTGGTTCACCCTCCAATGGCCGCCGCGGCCGGCGCGCTGCGGCCGGCGCACCGCGCTGATCCGATGGCAGGAGCCAGGAGCCAGGTGCTTTTCCTGGTCTCCCATGGGGTGCAGGGCCCAAGCACCTGGGCCATCCTCCACTGCACTCCCTGGCCACAGCAGAGCTGGCCTGGAAGAGGGGCAACCGGGACAGAATCCGGCGCCCCAACCGGGACTAGAACCCGGTGTGCCGGCGCCGCTAGGCGGAGGATTAGCCTAGTGAGCCGCGGCGCCGGCCCTTATTATGCTTTTTTTAAATTATGAAGCTGAACATTAAGATCTGGGTAAACTGAATATGCAGATTAACCTAGAAACTGTAAATCATTTTGAGCAATTACATGAAAATGAGGAAAACAAACTTAAATAAGAAAAATCATGTTTACATTATTATTGGGTTTTATTTAATTTTTATTTAGTTCGTTCGTTAAGTGGTCTTATCCTAAGGGATATCAGTTGATTTCTGTAAATTAAAACATGAGCTTAACCCACAATTAGTTGTTTAAAGTGCACCAGGGATATCAGTTTCTGCATCATTGCTTTTAGTGAACGGTGGCCTGTCACCAAAGGACAGATTTTTTTTTTTTTTTTTTTTTTTTTTTTTTTTTTTTTTTTTTTTTTTTTTTTTTTGGACAGGCAGAGTGGACAGTGAGAAAAAAAGACAGAAAAAAAGGTCTTCCTTTGCCGTTGGTTCACCCTCCAATGGCTGCTGCGGCCGGCGCGCTGCGGCCGGCACACCGCGCTGATCCGATGGCAGGAGCCAGGTGCTTTTCCTGGTCTCCCATGGGGGGCCAGGGGCCCAAAGCACCTGGGCCATCCTCCCCTGCACTCCCTGGCCACAGCAGAGAGCTGGCCTGGAAGAGGGGACAGAATCCCGGCGCCCCGACCGGGACTAGAACCCGGTGTGCCGGCGCCGCTAGGCGGAGGATTAGCCTAGTGAGCCACGGCGCCGGCCCAAAGGGCAGATCTTAATTAAACCTTATAGATTGATTCTAGCTTTTTCTAAACTAAGCTGAAAAAAGTGATGTAAACCACAGGATTTAATGACCAGATGTGGGCTTAGGGAACACAGAGAAGACCAGCTTGTCACACCAGGGTCTGTCTTGGGAGTGATAGACAACAATGTAACTTGACTTAAAGATTCATAGCCTTGTTGAGGGCAAGGACCATGAATTAATTTTCTGTCTTCTTAACACCCTGTTCAGTGGTTTGCTGAACAAATGCATATAGATAGCAGTTGGCATTGTGGCACAATTTCAAATACCAGCCTTCCATATCAGAGTATCAATTTAAGTCCCAGCTACACAGATTCCTATCCAGCTTCCTGTTACTGCATCAGGAAAGCTGTGGAAGATGACTCAAGTATGTGGGGCCTTGCTGTCCATGTGGGAGAGCAGGTGTGATTCCTGGCTGCTTTCTTTGGCCTGTTTCAGACTTGGCTGTTGTGGCCATTTGTGGAATTTATCAGTGATGGAAGATATGTCTCTGTCTTTCCCTCTCTTTAGCTTTACCTTTCAAATAAATAAATCTTTTTTAAAAATGCATCTGTACACCTAGACAGGTATTCTTTAGCTTGGAAATTATGTCAAACATAAAACTAAAACTTATAAAAGGGGTAACCTTTAATTTTAGACTTACATGTCGGTCAAAGAAGCACTTTTTTTTTTTGTCATTCAGGTAGTAGGAATAGTTGGTAAAAAGCATGTGGTAATTGATGTTACCTCTGTTGGATAGCTGATGTGCCAGGTGCCTTCTCTGTGTTTGATCTTCACAACGGTCTAAGAGTGGTGTCTTCCCAAAGGAGAGACCGAGGCTCAGAGAATAGTTAACGTGGTTGAGATTATGCAACTGTGTTGACAGAATGCTGACTGCTCAATATATAACCTCTAGAATCAACCCATTGCCACAGAAGAAAAATCAAAGAAGTTCAAGAAGAAGCAGCCGGGAAAGCGCAGGAGCCAGGGCGAGATCACAAAGGAGCGAGAAGATGAGTGTTTCAGCTGTGGGGACGCCGGCCAGCTCGTCTCCTGCAAGAAGCCGGGCTGCCCGAAAGTTTACCACGCAGACTGTCTGAATCTGACCAAGCGGCCAGCAGGTCAGTGCCACAGTTCGTTCAGAGTGCTCCTTGCTTTCCACAAGGATTCTTGTGGTCTGATTGCATTTGCTTTAGTCAGGAGGAAAGTGCCATTTGCTTTTCTATGCGTTATGTTGACGGATGTGGTTCATGTTCTAATTCTGGAAATACATGGCAGTGAAGGCTAGGATTAAAGAAGGGAAACTCACCTGCTGTGTGTCAAGTCCTTCACCTACATGTATGTCATTTCATCCTCCCAGCAACCCATTAAGTTTAGTTTTCTTCCTGTAATGCATTTTAGGAAAATTAAGAGTCAGGATTAGTGTGATGAGTTACTACAAATCAGTGAGGAGCTGAGTTGAATGCCAGGTTTTGCTCTTACCTTCTGGAGAGAGGAAGGTTGAGATAGTAGATCTTTGGGGTCACTTTGGTCTGAGAGATGAATTGACACCTTTTTACTTCCTACCCTGCTCCCATAGTGGGGTTTCCTCACACAGTGACTTTTCCCTGAAGGTTACTTGACTTTGCTCAGTGAGCACTTGAGAAAGCGTCTCTGGCAATTGTAATACCCAGGAATTTGTGGTTGGAGGAGTTGATAGCCTTTTGGTAGTGATCTTGGGTTAGAGGATTTTAAAGATTTGAACATGCCATCTATCTTAAAGGACAAAAGGAGAAGCCAATAGGGAGCCATTCATGGAGAAGAGATTATATGTCACTAATAACCAGTGTCCAGACATTGCAGAAAGAAGAGAACTTTGGGGTAGAAGTGAGAGGAGTTTGTTCCTGAATTGGCTTCCTTTAATGTGCATTTTGTCAGGGAAATGAAATAATAGAAACTGGGGTACTATGAGGGCAAGGCCATAACACCGACCTGTCCATGCCAGGAAGTGAAATGAGGGATTTTTTTGAGAGTCAGGTTGGCTGGGGCCAGGATAGACCTGATTTTCTCTGTGTATCCAGAGTGAGATCTAGTGTAGTTTATTTGGGGCTGGTAGACTCATTTCTGTGTCAGTGGGGTAGTACATGCAAGGCTCAGCTAGCTGTGGGTCTTTTCCCCTGTTTCTGTGGGGATAACACAAGTTTTGCCAGATTGAGCATGGGTGAATCTGCTTCCATTCTGCAGTTGTATTATACGTGCTTTCCTGTTCTTGTAAGTAACCACATAAGCAGGAGTTAGGTATCTGGGATGTTTATGTTCCAGTTGAAGATTTAAAAGCTCTAAAGGACCAGTAGACTATGCAGAAATTGAAAGGAGTATCCAAAATTCCATCTAAGGGAAGCTTGTCCGAGGGGTCCCCTGTTGCTGGAAATGGTCATAGAAATATGAATTTATTCCTCTGCTTGTATTTAGGTGATACCTAGCTGCTCCTTGAGGCTCTGCTGTCACCTACTGTGTCATTCAGTGCAGAAGGGGAGACTGTGCTCCCTGGGAAGGAGAGGTGGCAGTGAAGAGCAGGCAGCTTGAGGGAGGCTCTGCAGTCACGCCCCTGAGCTTTCCCTCAGCCATGGCCTGTCTCCCTTTTCCCCCCTAAGGTTGTTTCTCTCCTGTGTTTTCAGGGAAGTGGGAGTGTCCGTGGCATCAGTGTGATGTGTGTGGGAAGGAAGCAGCCTCCTTCTGTGAGATGTGCCCCAGTTCCTTCTGCAAGCAGCATCGGGAAGGCATGCTGTTCATCTCCAAACTGGATGGGCGTCTATCTTGTACTGAGCACGACCCCTGTGGGCCCAACCCTCTGGAACCCGGGGAGATCCGTGAGTATGTGCCTCCCCCGGTACCATTGCCTCCAGGGCCGGGCGCTCACCTGGCAGAACAGTCATCAGGAACAGCTGCTCAGGGGCCCAAGATGTCAGATAAGCCACCTGCCGACACCAACCAGACGCTGCCACTCTCCAAGAAAGCTCTGGCAGGGACTTGTCAGAGGCCATTGCTGCCTGAAAGACCTCTTGAAAGAACTGACTCCAGGCCCCAGCTTTTAGATAGGGTCAGAGACCTTGCTGGGTCAGGGACCAAATCCCAACCCTTGGCATCCAGCCAGAGGCCACTGGACAGGTCACCTCCAGTGGCAGGACCAAGACCCCAGCTATCTGACAAGCCCTCTCCAGTGACTGGCCCTGGCTCCTCACCCTCAGTCAGGCCCCAACCACTGGAAAGACCTCTGGGGACAACTGACCCACGGCTGGATAAATCTATAGGTGCTGTCAGCCCACGGCCCCAGTCACTGGAGAAAACCCCAGTTCCCACTGGCTTACGACTTCTGCCGCCAGACAGACTGCTAGTTACCAGCAGTCCCAAACCTCAGACTTCAGAGCGGCCCCCAGACAAATCCCATGCCCCTTTGTCCCAGAGACTCCCACCTCCTGAGAAAGTACTATCAGCTGTGGTCCAGACCTTGGTAGCTAAAGAAAAAGCACTGAGGCCTGTGGACCAGAATACTCAGTCAAAAAATAGAGCTGCTTTGGTGATGGATCTCATAGACCTAACCCCTCGCCAGAAGGAGCGGGCAGCATCTCCTCATGAGGTCACACCACAGGCTGATGAGAAGGTGCCGGTGTTGGAATCGAGCTCATGGGCAGCCAGCAAAGGCCTGGGGCATATGCCACGAGTGGTTGAGAAAGGCAGCATGTCAGAACCTCTTCTCCAGCCACCTGGAAAGACCGCAGCCCCTGCAGAGCACCCCTGGCAAGCTGTTAAATCACTCACCCAGGCCAGACTTCTTTCTCAGCCGCCTGCCAAGGCTTTTTTATATGAGCCAGCAACTCAGGCCTCAGGAAGAGCTCCTGCAGGGGCTGAGCAGACCCCAGGACCTCCCAGCCAAGCACCAGGCCTGGTGAAGCAGGTGAAGCAGATGGCCGGAAGCCAGCAACTACCTGGACTTGCTGCCAAAACTGGGCAGTCCTTCAGGTCTCTTGTGAAGACCCCAGCCTCCCTCTCTACTGAAGAGAAGAAGTTGGCAACTCCAGAGCAGAGTTCCTGGGCCTTGGGGAAAACCTCAGCAGGGGCAGGGCTGTGGCCCATGGTGGCTGGACAGACACTGATGCAGTCCTGCTGGCCTGCGGGGAGCACACAGACATTGGCACAGACTTGCTGGTCTCTTGGAAGAGGGCAAGACCCCAAACCAGAGCAAAATACACTTCCAGCTCTAAACCAAGCCCCTTCCAATCACAAATGTGCAGAGTCAGAACAGAAGTAATACCAGTCAATGTCACATAACCAGACAAGCTGCCCCCCAGGGTACCATTTGGGGAGAGGAATCTTTTCATTCTTTATTCCCCTTAAAAATCAGACCTACCCTCACACTTTTCCACTGATACTGTTTCCTTCCAAACCAACACTCAGAACTCTTGTGGCATTAGCCAGTGGGGGCTTACAGTTGTGTCAGCCTTGTATGGAAATCCAAGTGGGCCCCAGCCAAGGAACAGACAGACTTGAGTCTCTTTCCTCCATCTTCTACATGGTCAACTTAAAATAAAAAGTCCACTCTGGAGTCAAACATGGAATTCAATTCCGCTGGTCAGGATGGAAGGTCTAGGGGCTCTCAGAGCGATCTCCCTCGCCTGACAGATCCCTACTGAGGGCACCTGATGGACCCTTGGGCAGAACTGATGTTCTTCAATTCAGTGCAGATTTCCTGTGCATTGATGTGTGCCAGGCCAGGTGCTAGTCACTGGCCCAAGATGCAGAAATAAATGAGGCCTGATCCCTGTCAGCCTAAGATGCCTTCCTGGGAACCCAGGCTGTTTTCAGGAACCTTTTACCAGGAAATAACAGGAAGTTCTGCGGGGGCCCTAGAGCTCCAACCTCATTTTGCAATGTCCTCTGTGGCACCACAAGTGGTTGTGTTGAGTAAGTGTCTCCTGTTTGGGTTGTGCGTGGAGCATGGGCCTGCACACCCATGCAGAGGTCTGCCAGCAGACAGAGGAGTGCTGTGTCAAGGCCAGGTGGGGCTGTTGATTGGGGCAGCCTCTGCTGCCTCTGGGCTGCGTAGTGTCTGAAGATCTGTCCTTGGAGGAGCAGCTGGTTAGGGGGAGCTGAGCTCTATGAAAATATAGCTTTTCCAGCATTGGAAGAAGGCAATTGGCAAGTTTACCTTTCTTTTCTACCAATTTTCCTCCTTTTACATGAACCCATGCCCACCCCCCCATCCCCATCCCCAAACACTCAGGTGCTTTCAGATTTCAGCCTCGGGCAGTGGACATAGGGAATTTCTGGCAAGCTCTGAGCTAGATACACCAGCTTCAGGAAGAATGCCAGATGCTGATGGAAAGTTACTCTGCTCTCTTGATCCTTTGCCCTCCCAACTGAATGGAGGAAGTTCTCTTCACCTCCCTGAGAACTGCTTTGTTCTCCATTGACAGCACCTGTCTGCTGACTTAGCTCAGAGGCAAGCCAGAACCCTTCCCTTGAGACCAGTGAGGCGAGGTATTTAGAGCAATGTCCTGTCTAAGAGATGACTCCTCATAACTGCTGATTATCTGTTACTGCTGCCCTGAGCTGGGGCCCAAGGGCTGGGAAATCTGTTGGTGCTACCTTGCCCTAGCATTCGCCCGGCTCACCGACTGCCAACAGGAAGTTCTGTTTGGCTAGTCCCCTCACTTGCCCCCGTGCCCTTGTTCCTAGACCAATGTGTTTACCTTTTTGCTTTGCCAACGTAGCCAGCAGCTTTAGCCAATAGGCCGTCTTTTGGCCCAGCATCTCCTGGCCATGGCGTCTCCCCTCTGGTTTTTATACCCTCAACAGGATTCTGTATTTTGTCCTGATTTCCTTCTCCCACGTTCCTACCGCGGTTACTCCATCACTTCCAAGGAGGGAACAGCAGTTGTTAGAGAAGCATTTGCGCTTTATAGAGAGAATAAAAATAGAATCTGCTTTTATTTCCCAAAGTCTGTCTCTAGGGTTGAGACACTTGAACTCAGGCAGAGGGACGAGGCTGGGCAGGGCTGTCCCAAGTTTAGGGACCTCTCCCTGCATTTCACTGAGACCTCGGAATCTCCTCTGTGAATTCCACCTGCCTAGTTCTCCCCTTTCATGCTAACTCTTCCTAATCACCAGGGAGGAAAAGCTCTTTGTTCAAAAGGAAGAGAAAACATAAAGCATCTTATTTTCTTTTAAAAGAATTTTAAACCATGAAAAAGATATTTTTAAAGAAAATTCATCCAGAACATGAAAGTTGACTATATTAAGTATTTATCATGTGTGAGAATACGTATATAACTGCAGCTAGTAGGTCCCTTTCCCTGATCTCTTAGGTTGTATGAGTAGGGTTTGCTTGGTGCCAGTCCTGTGCCCTTTTCTCTCCTGTCATCTGTAGTTGTGATCAGAAGATGCCCACACTGCACTGTCGGCATCTTTTCACTGTGTTGTGTGCTAAATTACCGTAGCTCTTTGTTCCATGAAATAAACTGTGAATCGGGGGGGTGGGGCGTGCAGGCTATGTAAAAATGTAAGTGGAGAAGTTTCATCCTGAACTAGCTTCACTGAAGTAGGCTTTGGTAGGTAATTGGCTAGACGGCCATCTAGACAGTGTCTCACAAGACAGGAAGGACTGAGGGAAAGGGGGCCGTGATTAGCCACTCTCCATTCTCCACCATTCACTAGAGGCTGCTTTCCAGACCTGCCTCGGAAAACAGCTTGTGAGCCGTACCTGGTTCTGGGGGTCAGTTCTTCACCTGAATGGATGGACATCAGGCTTCCATCAGGGCCACTGAAAGACTCTCAGGTTGTGGATTGGAAGCTGGACATTGGAGCTTTTAGGTCCACTGACAGCGGCATCTGATTTTAGATTGTTAAAATCATGAAAGCAGTCACTATCCAACTATAGAAGTAGAATCAGAACTATTGGAAATGAGACTCTTAAGTGAAGGTGGGGAGGGAGTGACTTCGCCAGCCCTTTTAGACTTCCTCAAGCCTATAAGGAGACCCTTTTCCCTAAGAGGGTGCAACTAGGCAGCTAAAGGAAACCTTTTATCATTGTGCAGGATTGGTACTGTGGTATTTGGATCTCAAGATAGCCTGCTTTCGACCCGGCTCCCTTGGAGGGCTTTTTGAGGGGCAAGCTTGTAAAGTCAGAAGAAATTATGGAAACGTTTGAAGTTTGCATTCAAAGCCTTATTTGTTTCTCCTGGTGGAGCCAACCCATTCTAATAGCAAAACAGCTATCACCGCTCCAAAGTGTCCACGTTTTTAAAAAAACGTCTGCTTTCTCCTGAAGTCCCTGAGTTTGATGATGTAAATCACTGTGCTGATCCACACCTTTAGCATTGATTTAAAAAAAAAAAAAAAAAATACAACTTCTATTCTTTGAATCCCCCACGCACTACAGTCAGGACATGAACTCACAGTCCTGTCCCGGGCTCAGCACCACCTGCTCGCTGGAGCTGCCCCCCCCAGGCTGCCTCATGAGAGCAGAACGGCAGGAAGGAGGTCCAGTCCTGGCACTGTCCCCGTGGAGAGGGATCAGGAAAGCACTGAACTTGCTCCTATAAAGTGGGTTTTCTCCTAAGGCTTTGTTTTGGAATAGTGTCACCCTCTTGGGGCTTATCGGCCAGGTCTGAGGGGCCCAGTGTCCTGTGCTCTGTGGATCATGGCAAGAAAGGAATTGCCTCAAGCCCCCTTCCCCTGCTGAGTAACCTCCGAGCTGTTCCATGTTAGACATTCCAGATCATTTAAAGCTAGGTGGCTGCAAGAGGCTTTGATTGGCTGTGGCCAGTTAGCTCTCAGCTGAGCTTCCTAGGGCCAGGGCAGCAGGGCCAGAGGTTGCTGTAGCTAAATTGAAATAAGAGTAGATAATTGCTTTGTATACAAAAAAAAAAAAAGTAATGATGGTGCTAATTTCATGGTATAAATAAGCACTGCCATGGATTGAGGGACTGGTGACTTGAGAAACCCAGGTTCCTACTTGGGAGATTTATGTAGAAAGGTTTTTTTTCAGGCTCTGTTAGAGGTGAGGACCCAGCAGAGCCTCAGCAAAGCCTGCACCCAACCCTGGAGTTAGTCCAGCATTCTCCAGAGGTGGAAGAGATCCCGTGTCCAGATGAAGGTGGCCATTGAGTTTCTCAGGGCTGGGGTCACCTTGTCCATAAGCCTCCGTCCACACTGCCTGGAACAGGTTGGTAGAGCTCTGGGTGTGGGGTCTCCCTGGGTTACCTCCTGCCCCTCTCTACCTCTTCCAGTCTCATGGGAGCACCTCTATAGCTCATGAATATGAAGAGTAATATTTCTTAAGGACGTGGAAAGAGTTTATTTTAATTAGAAATCCACAGCCTTGGAAGAAATGTGTCTTACAAGTGTAAGCAAAAACAGCCTGTTCAACTCTTGTGTAGCCCTCCTTTAGAGCTGCTTTCCCATGGCTTTGAAAACATCAGGCTGTTAGAGGGCTTCAGGTTTAACACCCTGGAAGTTGAGCCGAGCTTTGTGGACAAGAGGCAAGCACAGGAAGCAGAAGCAGAAATGGTTCTGGGTGCTTTAAACCTCTAGGGTCGGGCAGAGCCAGCAGTGTCCAGGTGTACGGTGGGTGCTGCCTGCATGCGTGCAGGTGATGAGGTGTGTTGGATGGGCAGTGCAGCACACAGGAGCTCCTGGAAGAGCAGCTGTTTAGGTCTTGGCAAAGCAACAAGCTGATGACAGAGATCTGTCTTTATATTTTTAAGAAAGGGGGACGGGGGGTCGGGGGTCAGCCAAGGTCCGTCACGGTTTTCTCTGCCCTCCCCCCTCCCCGGCCCCACAGATTGTCAGCTGTTAAGTGAAACTCCTAGTGAAAAAGAGGGAGCCCTGTGCTAGGAGTCTCCATAAACATGTACTGTAATTCTTTGTATATAGAAAAAAATTACTGTAAAGTAAAGTTTAACTTTACTCTTATGGCCCTTGCCCTGTGTTTTGTTTTATTGTTTCTGGGGAGGTGTAGCCTAATAGGACAGAGGACTGGTCTGGGGTGAGAACAAAAGCCACCCCAGAGAGTTCCCCAGTGGGCAACACAACAGAGCTGAGCCTCCCTCCAGGCCCTTGATGGGGGAGTAGTGTGGGTTTCCTCCCCGTGGCTATGGGCTACATGTCTGTCTTGTTGGGAGTGGTTGGTATCAGTTTCAGTCCCCTTCCACAGGAAATCTCCATCACTCGTGAAGGAAGTGTATTTTGAGGAATTGGTTTTTTAAAAAGGAAGTAGAACCAAAGCACTTTTCAAATGAGTCAGAGCTTGTTGGTCAAGTTTTACATTCTTAAGAGGCAGGTGTTGAGTACTGTACAAGGCTCAGTCTGAGCATAAAGGCAGCAAAGCAGTGAGTTGGAAAGTGAGGCTCCTGGTGCAGGGCAACACCTCCCATACCCGAAAAGGCTTCTTGTTGAACAGGGAGCGTTGGCCCTGGGTACCCTAACCCATGAGCCTTCAGAGACACTTGGACCTTTAAGGCCTGATACCTTTGGGAGAACCTCGGGAGTCTGCTTCCTGCCTTTCCAGCAAGAAGCTGTCAGAGGAGGAGTATGGGAAGAGCATTTGGTACCAGAGTTCATTTTCCCCTAGGATGCTCACGGTCCTGAGCTGGGGAGCAGCCCCCTCATCTTACAGAGGAGTAACTCAGGCTGAGTGTGTGGCTGCCTTTCTAAGTAGCTAGCTGGGATCCAAATCTGGATCCATGAGACCTTTCTGTCTTGCAGAACTGAATGACTTTCCTTCCATTAAGCCACACTGTGGAATGTCTGGGAAGCTCAGGATCTGAACAACAGGCCTGACTCACAGGCCCAGGCACGACAGACGCGGTCAGGCCTACCAGGCCCCCTTATTATCTAAGCAGGGCTTGCCCCTGCTGCACAGGCTGAGTGCTCTCCTTGCCTTCCTCTGCACCTAGTAGGAATGGTGAGCTTTGTAGTGCCCCGACCCCAGCCTCTCACTGAAGAACAGCAAAGAACCTCTTGTTTCTCCAAGGGCTCCTCTGCAACCCGGGGCTGAGGTTCCTTGGTTTCCAAAGGAAAGTAAGAGATAGGAGGAGCCTTAGTATAGAAGTGAGGCCAGGCCGGTGCTCTCAGAGCTAGGTGTCTTGACACCGGGTCCACACAGCAGGGAAAGGGGCTGAGTGTGAGTCACAGTGCACTGACTTTATTTACAGATCAGAAGCCACTTAAGTAATCTGCAGATACAAGTGTTGTCCAGGGCAGAAGCCTGGGGTCCAGATCGGTCCTTAGCCCTCCTCATGCCCACAGCCAGCCCACACTGCCTCCGTTCCATGGGCCAGCACAGGCCGGTGCCACCTCTGCTGCCATGGGGACCTGGGGTAGCTCAGACGTTGGACCACCTGAGCCCAGACAAAAGCTGGGTCCAGCCCCCTGGGGAATTCCACTATTCCCCAGGCCAGGTGAGTGGCGAGTCAGTGATGACAACAGCTGTAGAAGTAGGGGTTTGCCTTCTGGCCCAGATCCACGCCCTTGTCCTCTGTGAAAGAGAGGTGGCAGCTTAGCACCTAGCTCCGTGGACGGGGTCAGGCGGGGCTCGGCGGGGCTCGACGCCCCGGCTGAGAGGCGGTCCGGGGGAGCACACACCTGTCATCACTTGGAAGGCAGCCACGCTGACGTAATCCTCGGCCACTTTCTGGAAGAGCTCGTCTGACAGGAAGAGAGGGCCGGTGAGGGCCCAGAGGGCTCGTCTACTCTACTGCCTGGGGTGCCCCTGCCCGTTCCTGCTGCGAGGCCCCAGGACCAGCACTCACCCACACTCTGGCCTGTCTTGCTAGACGTTTCAAAGAGCTGAGCTTTGATATCTGTAAAGAGAAGTGACGAAGCCTCACACCTGAGAATCCAGTAGACAAAGAGGGAGCCTAGCAGTTCAGAGTCTCCCAGACCCCAAAGATGCAAGGAAGCCAAGCAGGTACCTTGCCTGTAGCCCACCCAAGCAGCCACTCCCCGCCCGCATCCCACCCCCTCAGGGGCTGAGCAGCAGCTACTGTCTGCATAGTCCTGGACATCGTGGAAGTCCACACGCCGCCGCCGCCGGTCCTCCTCCAGCAGGTCGCTCTTGGTGCCACACAGGTAGATCTGACAGCCCTGGAGCAGAAGCCAAGGTCAGGGTGGGCTCCACGGACCCACTGAGCTCCCACCCCCAGGCCCCCATCCAGCCAGGTGTGGCCACCCACCTCCTCCAGGCTACGCAGCTCCTTCACCCAGAACTTGGCTCGCTCAAAGCTGTTGCTGTCCGTAAGGTCTTGGCGTGGGGCATGCAGGAAAGGCGAGCGAGGGTCAGGGGTTGTTCTGAGGCCCGCCAGGCACCCACACCTTGCTTGAGGAATAGGCCAGAACCCCTCTTACCATAGCAGACGATGGCAGCCTTGGCGCCCCGATAGTAGATCCTGCTCATGGCCTCATAGCGTTCAGAGCCTGCTGTGTCCTGAAAATCAGGGGAGGACTGAGCCCCGGCCTGGGTTACCAGGCTAGAATCCCCCATGACTGCAAAGCAAGCCCCAGCCTCCAGAAGGGGAAACCAGGGCCTGGGGCTGGGCAGTGGCCTCGGGGGCCCAGGTCAGAGCCCCCCTCTGCAGACCTCGCGAACGGGGTGCCCAGGAAACTTACCCAAATCCCTAGAGTCACCGTCCGATCTCCTACAGACATCACCTTGGCCACGAAGGCAGCCCCGATGGTCTGCAACGAGGGGCAGGCGGTCAGGTCGGCGGGAGCGTGCCGGCCCCTCCCCGCGCGGCCGCCCCGAGCTGGCGCACTCACGTTCTGATAGGGCCCCACCAAGAAGCGGTCGTGCACGTAGCGCTCCACCAGGCTCGTCTTGCCCACGTACTCCTTGCCCAGCATCACCACCTTGAGGTCCACGCGGGGCCCGCTCATGCTCCTGGGGCCGCCTCACCCACGGCGGGGTCCTGAGGCACACCCGACCTCCGCTCGGCCCCTAACCCCACGCGCTAGCCCGGCGCTCGAGGCCCCGCGTCAGGCCAGAGCTCGGCCCCCGTCCTCCCCGTCTGCCTCCGCTCTTCTGCCTGCCCCGAGCGCCGGGTATCTTCGGAGAGCCCAAGACCCCGGCCGGCCTGCGAGCGCGCGGGCCAGCGAACCTTGGCCGCGCCGCACGCCGCCGTCCCGCGCTCGCCCTCCGGGTCGCCCGCCCGCCGGCCCGGCTGGGACTCCCGCTCGGGGTAGGCTTCCCAACTGAACCCGGAGTCCCCCCTGAACCCTGCTCTGACCCGCAGCGAGCGCCGCGACTCCGGAGGGAGGGGCGCTAGGCCGAGGGGGCGGAGCCGAGAGGTCACGTGGACGGCGCCGGAAGTGGTGGACTGTGCCGCCGCGCCGGAAGTGGCGCGCGGCTGGCCAGCTCCTCATGGCGGCGGCGGGCAGCGGCTTGGGCGCGGCGCGGAGGTGACTGACCTGAGCTGCGAGCCTGGCGGGCGTGCGCCGAGCCCCGGCCCGGCCTCCGCGTGCCCCCGGGCTCCGCACGCCTGATGCTGTGCGGACGCTGAGTCCGCCCCGGCCGGACTAACGATGGTGAAGTATTTCCTGGGCCAGAGCGTGCTCCGAAGTTCCTGGGACCAAGTATTCGCTGCCTTTTGGCAGCGATACCCGAATCCCTATAGGTACGTGACTCTGGGAAGAGCAACCCCCGGCACCATCTCCGCCCTGTCGAGATCGAAGTGCGGGCGATCCCCCCAAGTAATGGGGCTAAGGGGAACCGCGGATCGAGGCCGACATAGGGCTTTCCGGAATCGTGACCGCCTTAAGGGCAGCAGGCCTTATCTAGGAAGTGGCCGGGCCGGACTCGGAAGGCCCTGGGAGGTGGCTGGGCCTGGGCACTGGTTTGCCAAGGCCCTCTCTGTGGACGTTGGGACGGGAAGAGACGGCCGCACGGGCCCTGGGAGGGATCTTGGGGCTGCAAGTCAGGCACTTGCCCATGGGTCTGCCCGTGCAGGAAGTCACGAGGCCCCGCCCTGCCGGGAAGCCAGGAATCCAGGTCAGTGAGGTAGGGCAGCAGTTGGAATTTGCCCTGGGATAGTCTGAGCCACAGCCCAGATCACTGGGCGAGATTGCAGGGGTGGCGCGCTGGGCAGGGCTGCCCCAAGTGGGAACCCCAACGGGGAGCTTCCCTGGGGGCAGGTTCCCGATGGTCACCTGCACTCTGACACCTGCAGCAAACATGTCTTGACTGAAGACATAGTCCACCGGGAGGTGACCCCTGACCGGAAGCTCCTGTCCCGTCGACTCCTGACCAAGACTAACAGGATGCCCCGCTGGGCAGAGCGACTATTTCCTGCCAATGTTGCTCACTCGGTGTACATCCTGGAGGACTCTATAGTGGACCCACAGAATAAGACCATGACCACCTTCACCTGGAACATCAACCACGCCCGGCTGATGGTGAGACCTCCCCGGGGCCCCTACCCCCACCCCCCGAAGCACACTGCTCAGGAGCAGGTGGCTAGGGAACCGAGGCAGATTCCTGAGGACCGGGTGGCCCGGAGCCTGCCCTGCCCCTGCCCTGACTCAGCCGTGCCCTGGGGGAGAGGCACCTGTTTCAGGAAACTGCGTGACGCGCCTTTGGGTGGGGCCTGCAGGAGTGATGCTGAGGGTGGGCGTCCATCAGATGGCGGCCTTGCGTGCACCTCGGGGAGCGGCTATGGCCCCTTGCTCCACTTTCTTTTTTTTTTTTTTTCTTTCAAGATTCATTTTTTTTTATCTGAAAGGCAGAGTTCCATCTGCTAGTTCAGTCCCTAACTGGCCGCGATGGCTGGGGCTGGGCCAGTCTGAAGTCAGGAGCCCAGAGTTGCTTCCAGGTCTCCCCTCCCAAGTGCAGGGGCCCAAACGCTTGGGCCATCTTCTGCTGCTTTCCCAGGCGCATTAGCAGGGAGCTGGATCAGAAGTGGAGCAGCCGGACTCGAACTGGTGCTCCGATATGAAATGCAAGTGTCACAGGTGACTTAACCCACTGCGCCACAACGTCCCCACCCCCTGCCCCACACCACTCCCACTCACTCCAGAAGTGTCTTCCTCATCTGATGGGAGTGCTCCAGAGATTGTGGGAAACATCACCTGTGCTCTCTTGCCCGTGGCTTGAGAATCATTCTACAGCGTCTCCGCTGGCCAGTGCATGCCGGGAGGGCTCCTGCAGAGCTATTGCGGGCACCAAGCAAAGCCCCTGTGTACGGCACCCAGCACTGGTGCCCACGTGCAGCGTGTGAACACCCTGAAAGCTTCAGAGAATCCCCCTCCCCAGCTTGTTTTCTCAGCTCACTTACCCAGTCTGCAAAGAGGGAAGTGAGGGCCAGAGAGGGGAAGTGTCCTGCCGGGCTGCGGTGAGCGCGGCCGCACTGTATCCCGCTTTCTGGGCTCCTGCCCGGTGACCGCGGGGGCCCATCTGGCAGGGGGGTGCTCTTTCCGAGGAGGCCGCAGTCGGCGGGAGCCAGGCTGCACACCCCGTACGCGTCGAGGCATAAAGGCTCCCGACACCCAGGGGTGTGGCCGCCTGGTCCCCCGACCCTGGCTGGGGATGCGCCATGGGGAGGAACCTATTTTCACACCGGTACTTCTCAGACTGATGCTGGCGTTGGTAAAGTGAGAGACTCCGTGGTTGTGGTTGGTCTGACTCCCCACACAGATGGTGGAGGAGCGATGTGTTTACTGTGTGAACTCAGACAACAGCGGCTGGACTGAAATCCGCCGGGAAGCCTGGGTCTCCTCCAGCTTGTTTGGCGTCTCCAGAGCGGTTCAGGTGAGTAGTTGTCAGCGGGGCTGTGGGGCCCGGGCCTCTGCCGTCCGAGCCGGCTTCTAGGATCCTCCCCTTGTCTCTTGCCAGGAATTTGGTCTTGCCCGCTTCAAAAGCAATGTGACCAAGACTATGAAGGGCTTTGAGTACATCTTGGCCAAGCTGCAAGGTGAGAGCTCGGGGCAGCCCCTTGGGAGCCTGGGCCGGAGGCGGGGGGGGGGGGTGTCCACCCTCTGTACCTAAAGCCGGCCCTGGCCTTCGCTGCAGGTGAGGCCCCTTCCAAGACGCTTGTTGAGACAGCCAAGGAAGCCACGGAGAAGGCCAAGGAGACGGCGCTGGCAGCTACGGAAAAGGCCAAGGACCTGGCCAACAAGGCCGCCACCAAGAAGCAGCAGCAACAGCAGCAGTTCGTGTAGCCAGTCTGGCCCTGCTGGGACCCAGGCCCTCCCCAGCGCTGCCACTGCACCCCACACAGTGCGCTCAGCCCCCCACCCGCCCCCTCCTGTGTACTTTATTATTAAAAATCCACTTCCAGCCCTCTCTGCTGTTTGGGGGTGGGTGTCAGCCGCGTCCGAGCCCGGGCGGCTGCTGGCAGAGGTGCAGGGATCAGTGGCGGGGAAACATGACAGACTGTAAGCTCCATGAGGGCAGGGCTCGGTTCTGTCCTCCGATGTGTCCCAGCCGCCCGGAACCATATCTGTGCATAACAGGCACTCAATAAATATTTGTTGAATTCACTCCGCGCCAACTCTGGAGTCAGAAAGCGCTGGTTCGAACCTTGACTCCGCCGTGTGCTGCCGGCCCCAGGCAAAGTGGGTGCCACTGGTGGCTGGGGTTTTCCCCGTCCTCATCAGGCAAGACCAGGAGCAGAAGTTACAAAAGAGGCTTTTAATGCGAATACTGTGCAGGACACGAGGCACAGAGGCCAGGGTGCCATGTCCCGGGAGGAACGTGAGGGTTCAAGAGGCTTCCTGAGCCAAGTGCTACAAACAGGCCTGGAAGGGGGGCGGGCAAGCAGGCCCCTTTCCCTGGAGAGGCTTGGGGAGGTCCAGGCGCCTCCAACCCCCAGAGTCCGCCTGGCAGCCAGCAGCAGGGTAGGCCAAGCACCTGTTCCCATGTAAGGGTCCTTTTAGTCCGTGCCAACAGATGACTCCAGACAGCCCTTAAGGCTCGGAGGGGTTTCTGTCCAGGGGCTCAAACCAGCATGCGCAGAAGGTGAGGGTCGAGGCCACCAGGGCAGAGCCTGGCGTCAGAGCCAGGCGCCGGCGCTGTACGAATAGCTGTGCTCCCGGCCCGCGCCGAAACCCCGCAGCAGCTCCGCCTCGCCCCCAAACACCAGGCTCTCCACGTCCACGTCCACGTCCAGCTCCTCTGCACAGGGAGGAGCCGGTCAGAAGGGCCCACGGCCACGCGCCAACGCGCCACGCGGCCCAGGGCCTCCGGCACTCACCTTGATCCGAGTCCGAGCGCTCCGAGGAGAGGCCCGACGAGTCCAGGCTGTGCGCGCGCAGCCGCTCCCGCTCTCCGGCGCCCGGCAGCCCGCGCAGCCGCTCCAGCTGCTGCCGCAGGCTCTGCTGCTGGCTGCGCAGCCGCTCCTTGAGCCGCCGGGCCCGCTGCTCCTGCTCCTCCAGCTTCTGTGGACCAGGAGGAGCAAGGGCGGGGTCAGCCGCCTGGGGCCTGCCCAACGCTGCCCGCCAGATCTCCCCGTGCAAGAGGAGCTGGGAAGTCAGATTTGGTTCAGCGAATGGCCTTGGGAGTGCTGCCAGCTAATTTAAATTGTTAGAAAGCTGCAGACCGAACAAAGCTGCCAGTGTCTAACTGCGGCGCAGCTTCCTCCCCTCCCAGGAACCCTGAGACTTTGGGCATCAGTCCCCAGGGGGTGGGGGGCACCCCTGCCAGCCGCGAAGCTCCAGTGGCTGGACAGCCAAGAGGTCTCCTGGGCAAAGCCCCAGGAGGGCAGCCATTCAACCAGAAGGGGAGAGTGGGCGCAGCAGCACCGGGACAGGGCAGAGTCTGTGCGGAGTGGCTAGAGGTGAGACAAAAACAGCAGCCAAGGGGCTTGTGTGGGGCCTGGCGTCTCACAGGAAGTAAAGCTCATTCTAGGGCAAAATGGCAGACTGCCTGGGAGAGGCCAAGAAGGAGGCCGGGATGAAGTAGGCCAAGGAGCAGATGATGGGGCTTCAAGGAGGGAGCAATTTCTAGGTCCTGCCCAGGGGCCAGGCAGCGTGTCATCGGCACACGGTGTCCACCTGACACCCAGACCCGGCCCATGGGCCGGCCAGACTTGTTCCGCCACTGGGCAGGGGGGGACAGCGTCAGGGGACAGGGTGAGTACATCCCATGACCGTGGTTTATCTGCCGGGCTGTGTCTCTGCCAAGGCCCCTGGTGCAGAGCAGGCACTCAGTAATTCCCATTGAAGAAAGAGGCCACGCTGGGAACCTGAGCTTGGATTCCACACCTGCCTCGCACCGGCCGTGTGACCTGGCCCTTGGCCTGGCTCTGCATCCAGCTCTTCCTTTGTCAAAAGGGCCAAGAGTGGTAGGCAAAGTCCTCCATGAGTATAGTTTCCAAAACCACTTCTAATCCGGAAATCCCTTGGGCTGCCTGAGCCGGCCTTTTGGCATACTCGCTCCTGTCCACCAGGGGGCGTGGGGCTCCACGGAGGAAGCGCCCGGGCCCTGCCAGGCAGGCTGGGGGTGGGCCTCCTCTGAGCCCTTTCCCTCTCCTGGAGTCTGCAACTGCCCCCCAAGGTAGCATCATGTCAAACGGCCCAAAAGACGAGGCCCTGCAGGGTGGGGAAGGGGAGAGCCAGGGCTAACCTACAGAGCAAGGGACCCTTACAGATGACTCTCACAGAACCTTCTCACAGAATCTGTCAAACAGGAGGAGAGGGGAGCCCAGATGGGCCCAGCGACTTGCCAGGGTCCCCAAGCCGGGATCTCAGCGGTCACAGCTCTCCCAACAGCGATAAGCATTTCCAGGCGAACTCGCTGAAGCCATGGCACAACCCCTGCTTTTCTTCCCATTTAATAGATTTGGAAATTAAAAGCACAGAGGACCCAAGCCACACAGAGGGGCTTTTTCCTGGTAGCCACACTGCATCCTCCTAGCCCCTGCACACACGTGAAGGAGCCTGCCCACTGCACCCCTGCACACATGCGGGCGAGTGGCCCGCTGCACCCCCTGCACACACATGGGCGAGCCGGCCCGCTGCACCCCTGCACACACATGGGCGAGCCGGCCCGCTGCACGCTTGGGACAGCCCCTCACCTGGATGTGCGTCCTGGCACGGCGCAGCAGGCTCAGTGTGGTGTATCGCGCACAGTCGGCCCCCAGGGGCATCTGCTGCTTCAGCTGCTCCAGGCACCGCTTCAGTTGTGCCCTCCTGCAGGGGGAGGGGTCTGGAGGGCAGTGCCGGCCCTGCCTAGCAGGCTAGAGGCAGGGAGGGGAGGGGAGGCTGGGGACAGTGGTTCACCGGACCAGTGCGGTCAGGGCAGGGCTGGGACTCACCTGCGCTTCTCCAGCTCATTGTGCACAGACCTGTCAATGCCAGGGAGCCGGGTGAGGAGCGGTCGGCTACTGCCCACACCCTCCGTCCCAGGACCTACCCCACCCCACCCCCACCTCACAGCCTTCCCAACAGTGGGGCTGCAGGGAGAGGCATTCACACAGGAGGGAACAGCGTGTGTGCAGGCGAGGAGAGGAAAGGAGGAAGCCAAGAGAGACAGAGCAGGGTGTGATGGGTGGGGCGCACCCAGGATGTTTTGCTCAGAGTTCCTGGCACATCCCAAGGTGATCAAAAACAGTCCTTGAAGGAATAAAAAGAGATGTGTGTTTGGGGAGTGGGGACTGTTGCAAGTGTCTGGATGCCTCCCCCTCGCAGGATACCTGGCCCAGAAGATGCAAGCAACAGGAGGAAGTGAGCAGAGGAGGAGCCCAATGAGAGATGGCGCCCAGCACCCCCCACACACACTCCCCGCAGCCCTCACCGCCCGCTGTCCAGCGCTCCCGGCTGGGGGGATCGGTTCTTCCTCCTGTGGATGGGCCCCGGACTGCGGTGCGGGCACAGGGACGCGTAGCCATGCTCGGCCTCTGCCAGAGAGAACCCCTCCTCGTCAAGCGGGGCTGGACCCCTTGGCACGCGCGGTCGACGGGGACTTTTGGCGCCAGGACTACTCCCCCGACCCCTCCCCGGCAGCCAGACCGCAGATTGCTCTAGAGTTGAGGACGGGGGCGCCCCGCGGCTGCTGCCCTGGAACTGTGTGCATCCTTGCAGCTGGGAGCAAGTCCAGCCCGGGCCGGTGTCAGTGAGGTCACCGTCCCGGTCCGGCCACGGCTTCTTCCTCACCCCTCTCACGGCGCTCCAGGAACTCGGCCGCCTGCAGCAGGACCTGGATGTTGCTGGCCACCGGTTCCATAGTCGGAGACAGCGGGCGGCGGGCGAGTCTGGGCTGCTGGCAGGAGCTAGGGCTTCTCCACTTTTGTTACAATGTAACTGACACGGCGCAACAAACACAGGGGCCTGGCCCCGCCCCCGGGACGCCCCGCCCCGGGGAACGCCCCGCCCTCGGCCCCGCCCCCTGGGCCAGCAAGTCCACCCTCCTGGAGCCCGCCCGCCCGGGGCTGCCTGGACTTTCGCGGGGCACATTCGTGCGCCAGGTCCAGCCTGGTCTGCGAGAGGGCTCCTGAGCCGGGGGTGCTGCGTCTCGCTCGCTTCGCCCAACGGCTCCGCGACGGCTTCTGCCGTCTTTGGATCTCCAGTGTCAGTCCTGTGCGGGCGCGATGCGCCCCGCACACAGAAGCGCCCTTTGGGGGCCCGAGGTCCCCTGGTGACCCCGGGCCCCGCCGCCGCACGTGGGTGCCTTGGACGGGGCGGGGCCGGCCGGGAGCCCCTCGCCCATTGGTCCAAGGCCTCCTTGGGCTCCCTGTCGTCATCGTGGGGGCGGGGCCTGGGAGGCTCTGGGGCGCCATTGGCTGGAGCGAGGCCCCGCCCACGCCCGCCGCTGGCCCACCCTTTCGGGCGGGAAAAGAGGCCGGTTTCAAATTTGAAAACCCGGGCCGTGGGGGTGGGGCTGAGCGGGGAGCTGGGCTGCAGTGCGCAGCCGCCGCGGAGGGGGCGCCGACCCGGCCAGCGCTCTGGCCGCCCGCCGCCTGCCGGCACCTGCGGGGCCTGGATCCCGCTGTGCGGAGCGCGATCCGTGGGCGGAAAGGCCGGAGCCCCGTGGAGGGGCCGCGGGTGGCTCCCGTGCGGCACAGGGCGGGGCGCTGCTGCCCGGGTGTGCGAGCCTGGGAAGCCGGCGAGGGGCGCAGGACTGCCCCGGTCCGGGTCCTTTGGGGAAACCACAGCCCTCCTCCCAAAGGAATGTCGTTCAGGCTCCGCCAGGTCCCGGCCTGGGTCCCTGCCTGTCCACTCGCACAGTCTTTGCCAGGGCTCACTGGACACGAGGCACCGTGCTGGGCTAGACCGGGCAGAGCTCGCAGAGTGGAGGGCGGGACCAGCACAGCTGAATGGGAGTGAGCCAGAGGATAGATCTCTTATGTCTCTATTTCTGCCTTCAAAGGAAGTGAAGATAAATAAATTCTTTAAAAAAAAAAAAAAAAAAGGTAGAGTCAGAGTCCCAACTGAAGGCACACGGGGGTTGATCTAATCAGGGAAATTAGGCATCACGTCTCAGGAAATCAGTGAATGGTGTTATCTATGAAGAACAAATTTCAGACAAAGGACAGTATGTGCAAAGGCCCAGGGGCCGCAGAGAAGCTGGCCAGCAAAGCGTGGTACGGTGGATGCTGGTGGCTCCGGCAGGGCCAGGAGCAGGCTGATTGGTTCCCTACACCACCACCCACAACCGGTTACCCCCAAAGAAAGGAACCACGAGGTATATGAATGAATTTCCAGTTCTGTCCCACTAAAATCAGCACACACACACACACAGGGTAGGCACGAGCCCTCGACCCAGGTGGCCGGGCCTTGGAGCTGGGGTGACAGGGTGGGAGGGAAATCTGTAGCAGATGGACAGAGGTTGGGAGCAGGGCGCTCTGAGGCTGTGCAGGTGTTGGGGTGGGGCCCCCAGCTGGGTTAACTCCAAGTTCTTGGTGAGAGAGAAGAATCCACAGCCGAGCAGACAGAAGGGCAGGAAGGTACATATTCAGCCATGATTGCAGGCGGCATGGCGACTGTCCCTACCCAAGTTCAGGACGGCCCTTTATGGAGAGGTGGGTGGTGCCCTCATTGAATATACAAATGGCCAGGGTTTGGGTGGGGCTTCGGCACAAGGAACTGCTAGGAAGGTGTGGCAGCTCCACGTGGAGCTGGGTGTGGCCCTCCCAGTGACTCAGGTGTGATGGGGGGTGAGGCTCGGGTGCATGATGAAGAATGCCAAGCCTGCAGCCATGTTGGCGTGACACAGAAGGGGGCGGGGCCTTAGCAGTGCGGGGCTGCAGCAGGAAGGCAGGTGGCCATCTGTCAGCTCCTTGTCCCTCACTACCTCCCTGCCTAGCCCATGTCAGAAGTAACATAGTGGAGTGGAAAGCAGTGGAAGATGGCCCAAGCACTTGGGCCCCTGCACCTGCGTGGAGACCAGGGAAGAAGCTCCTGGCTTTGGATTGGCCCAGCTCCAGCCATTGCAGCCATCTGGGGAGTGAACCAGCAGATGGAAGACCTTTCTCTCTCTCTCTCTCTCTCTCTCTCTCTCTGTGCCTCTGCCTCTCTGTAACTCTGCCTTTCAAATAAATAAATAAATCTTAAAAAAAAAAAAAAGCAAGGCAGGTGCCGCAAGTGACCCCACCGGGAGTCCAGACTCCATGCTAGGAGCCACAGGAGGATGTGAGTGAGCCAGGGAATGGTTTGCCCTGAGAGGTTGGCTTGAACCCAGGCCACAGGGAGATCGGAGCTATGGCCCTCAGGGGCAGGGCAGGTGGGGGATGGGGCTGCTGCCCCAAGCCCTCAGTGTCCTCCTGAGAATTTGCTGGCGCTAGTGCTAGCCAGGCTGGGGCCGACATCTGTGCCCTGGTGCACCTGCTCCCTCAGCAGTAAGGGGCCTTGGGAACTTCTGCCCTGAACACCCCCAGGGACCTGGAGCCCTATGGGCCCCTCTGCCTGTGGCCGCCCCACCTGGGCCTGGCCTGCCTACAGTAACTGCGGCTGTGCTGCCCGTAGTCCGGCACCCAGCCTGCATCTGTGCCCCAGAAGCTCACAGGTGGGCAGCATCGATCCTGCAGGTGGCACTGTTGGAAGGTGATGTTTGGCGGGCGGGTGTGTGTGTGTGTGTGTGTGTGCCCGGATGCATTAATATCAGCTCCTGGAAATAATGAGCAACCCCTCCTGGGGCTCCGCCCCCCCACACCTTCTTCCCTGCAGGTGAGAGGAGCTGGGGTGGGGCCCTGGGTTGGACCCTGAGCTCACGTTACTTCCTCCAGGAAGTTCCAGCCCCCCCCCCCCCTTTTTGACAGGCAGACAGAGTGGACAGTGAGAGAGAGAGAGAATGGTCTTCCTTTTCCGTTGGTTCACCCTCCAATGGCCGCCGCGGCCGGCGCGCTGCGGCCGGCGCACCACGCTGATCCGATGGCAGGAACCAGGTGCTTATCCTGGTCTCCCATGCGGGTGCAGGGCCCAAGCACTTGGGCCATCCTCCACTGCACTCCCTGGCCACAGCAGAGAGCTGGACTGGAAGAGGGGTAACCGGGACAGAATCCGGCGCCCCGACCGGGACTAGAACCCGGGGTGCCGGTGCCGCAAGCGGAGGATTAGCCTAGTGAGCCGCAGCGCCGGCCAAGGCCCCCTTTTTCTAGTACATGCTCCCAAATATCAGCAGTGGTCCTGTGTCCCCCCCCCCCCCGGCTCTGATGTCAGCGGCAGGGGACACCAGTCCAGAGCAAGGGGCTTGATGGAGGCACTGAAGGCCTGGGGTCTCCACTGGCCGGGGGGGAGCAGCCAGCTACCCACAGGCAGCCAGGGCAGTGTAGCAGAAGGATCAAGGGTCAGGGGGCTCGCTGGCCCCTCACCCGGACTCTCCGTGAAGCATGAACAAGGTCCTGAGGCTAGGCGAGGCTAGACAGAGCCACAGGAGCAGCAGGCAGTCCCAGTGATGGTGGTAGGGCAGCTGCCGGCTGTGGGGCAGCCTGGCCTGTGGCACAGCCACCACGCCCACCTTCCCGGCCCTGATGGAGGCCCTTGGTTCCCTCCTCCGCTGCCTCTCAAGCCTCGCCAGTTTATTAATCATATCAAAGAACCAACTTTGGATCCAGTGTATTCATGTGGGGACAGGCGCTGTGGCCCCTTCCCTTTCCTTTTTAAAGAATTACGGAGAAGGGCCGGCGCCGCGGCTCACTAGGCTAATCCTCCGCCTAGCGGCACCGGCACACCGGGTTCTAGTCCCGGTCGGGGCACCGGATTCTGTCCCGGCTGCCCCTCTTCCAGGCCAGCCCTCTGCTGTGGCCAGGGAGTGCAGTGGAGGATGGCCCAAGTGCTTGGGCCCTGCACCCCATGGGAGACCAGGAAAAGCACCTGGCTCCTGGCTCCTGCCATCGGATCAGCGCGGTGCAGCGCACCGGCCGCGGCGGCCATTGGAGGGTGAACCAACGGCAAAAGGAAGACCTTTCTCTCTGTCTCTCTCTCTCACTGTCCACTCTGCCTGTAAAAAAAAAAAAAGAATTACAAATGAAGCCAGGAGCCAGAGCTTCTTCTGTGTCTCCCACATGGGCACCAGGGGCCCAGGTACCTGTGCCATCTTCCACTGCTTTTTCCCAGGTGCATTAGCAGCGAGTTGGATCAGAAGTGGAGCAGCCAGGACTCGAACCAGCGCCCATATGGGATGCCAGTGTCTCAGGCAGCAGCTTTACTTACTATACCACAACACTGGCCCTGAGAATGTTTCTCTTTGACCTGTGACCTATGGGTAACTTAATATTTGGTAATTATCTAGCTATCTTTTTGTTATAGGTTTGTCATTTAAGTTCTATTGTGCCCAAAGAATAGACTCGTGAAATTGATCATCTGAAATTTATCAAATGTATCAAGGCCTGTATGACACAAGGCCAGTCTTTTTTTTTTTTTTTTTTTTTTTAAGATTTATTTATTTATTTGAAAGGCAGAGTTACAGACAGAGAGAGAGAATCTTCCATCCACAATAGCTGGGGCTGGGCCAGACCAGAGCCAGAGCCAGAGCCAGGAGCCTGGATCTCTGGGTCTGCTGCATGTGTGGCAGGGGCCCAGACCTTGGTCCACTTTCTCCTTTCCTGTGTGCATTAGCAGGGAGCTGAATGGCATGTGGAGTAGTCAGGATTCGAGCTGGTGCTCATGGGGGATTCTAGCATCCCAGGCAGTGGCTTGACCCACGGCACCACCATGCCGCCCAGCCGCTGAGCTTCTCACGTGCAGATTAAGTAGTCGTTGCATTGCGCCACACAGTCGCCCTGTCCAGCCTTCGCCTTCCTGTGGGGCCGTGTTTCCTCTGAGACCACTTCCTTTACCCTGAGCGCTCCTTTCGCATTTCCTGCA